TAGAAATGTGTGCGAGATGGAATGCCTCAGGAAAACATTAACAAGAAGGGATAAAGTGAGAAAAAATAAAAGAGAACAAGTTTGGACAACACCACATATGAAATACATTGAAAAAACAACGCATTAAATGGCCCATGTGGGCCAATAAGCCCCAGCTTATTTGCCCATGTGGGCCAATAAGAGCAGCCAACTAAAAATTTCATTTACAATTCAGCCATCAAGTACGGCTAGCCTGACAGTCTAGCCGTACTTAAGTGCGGCTAGCCTAACTGTTAGCCGTACTTAGGCTAGCCAAGAAGTCTTAGGCCCTATTAACATTAGAAAATAGGAGGTTAAAAATACATGCACTGTCATTATCATTAAGTAAGGCATCTGGTTTCGTCTCGAATACAAATACTTTAGATACTGCAAACTAAAAATGTATTTATAATTCAGTCTAAGGCCTTTTTATGGTCAGTCTAGCCATCATATTAAGAATAAGTACGGCTAGCCCAACTGCCTAGCCGTACCCTTTCCTGTACATTCAATGTCCCTTCTTCCAGTTTGGCACAACAGTTCCGAACATGACACTGTGCGTAAAGACTCAACGTGTCTATATACACAATTGCGTGCGTATAGCAAACTATGATATCTTGCTCGCAATTGCTTGCGTATAGCAAAATTTGAATTTTTGTACATGCATGGAACTTTGGTCGAGATATAGAAGCGTTACAGCCATATCACCTCCATGGACCGATCAATATTTTAAAGCAAGATTTTTTTCTTTCAGATTTTACTACTCGGGTGAGATAATGATGTACTTCAATGGAGCAGAGTCAAGAGAGTCATGATTTTTCCCAGAACCCTGAAAAATCAGACTTTCTTTTGCCAGATTCTCAAGGAGACGATGCAAATTCTCTGGAAGGTTGGGATTTAATCAGTGGACTTCCAGCTTTGAGGTCAAAGTTCTTTGTAAGTTTTTTGTTATTAGTTTAAAATTTAGATGGCAGATGAGACATATGAAGTTGGAATGGTCTGTGACAATTAAAAACTTTCAAATAGGTACAGCAGTGTAATGCAGGCTGAAGCTGGAAAAATATGACTTTGTTTCAATAATTTTGTATAAATTTGTTTCTTAAAGCCGCCTAAATTCTATTTCGAATGCTCAGCATTTATTTGTACTTTTTCATTACCAACAGAGTCAGGGATTGTGAGTATTTTTATTTACTAAATTATTCATGTCAGTTGCGTATTAAAAATTTTTTATCTACTTTATTAGCTACTAACTCCTGTGTACCTTTTTCAGCTGTGATCTGTTGTCTCTACTTTGAGCTTTGAGCCTTTCATTTCAGTTGCGATATTAATGACAACGGTCTCATGTTCATAACAGAGACAGAGATGCCAACCAATACGATTTTACGTATTTTAGTACGATTTTTTGCCAAAAATATGCGAATACGACTTTTAATGGAAAAAATACGCCTCCTGGAATGCGAAAAATACGAGATTCAGCTTGGGCGAGTAAACCTAATTATCTCAAGTCCCATCTTTTGTCAAAATGGTATCAGTATTGCAGAACTGAAATATTTGAAAACCAAGTCGGATAAGGTCAGTAAGTTCATTTTTGCCAGTCGCGATGGTGATATTATATTCGTTCAGCTTTTCTTCGTCCGGAGAGTACGTTTCTCTTTCACACGAATAGGCAGCTATGGCGGAAGCGTATGTGACACGGAAGCTCAATCGGGAAAATCAAGATCTGCTTTCGTTACCACCAAGAAGTTTGCCAGCAGTTGTCTGATAAAGTAACATTTGTGACATGCAGGTTGTGCAGTATAAACGCAATGTCGCCGTGCAGATAACATTATTTTAATCAATGCTCGGACTGGTCTCTGTGCTGTCACTTGTGGTAAAAAAATGAAAAAAAATACAAGCGTTGTCCGATTTTTAGATTGTCTGGCTGGCCATCGTGACCGGTCACTGAACCTGCGCGCATTCGCATCATAAATAAATGCGGCATCGTGTGAGTAAAGACCATCTTTGGTGGGAGTAACGGCGTTGCGAAGTATAGAACTACAGAATAGGGGAGGAGATTATTGATTTTTTGGGGGTTTCAGATACTATCGGTTTGGGGGGTTAAGGCAACACCGGAGGACAAAAACTTGGAAGCACATTTCAGAATTTTGATTAGAGCTTTCTGTAAAGCGCGCGTTGATGCAGGCCGTGTGCGGAATCGGGACCCTTCATACTTTGCAAGTCTGTGTTATTGAAATAAAGTGTTCACATTTGTTTGGATGGGTGATAGTAAATTATACCTACAGTGTATGTTGTAGCTTTCTGTTCAAGACTGGCAGATTTTTCAGTGTCTCTGCATCTTGCCCTCCCACAGTTGTTACAACTCTCACAGTGCACTGGTCTACTTGAGGCATGTTATTACTTTTCTCTGAGTTTGAGCAATAATTTGAGTCTCTCAGTTCATATTATGAATCATGGACACCCAGACTGGTTCTTGATAGTCGAAATTCTTGTTCAAGGCCCTTTCGTACTCTCAAAGCAGGATTTATTTTTTATATAATAATGAGAGGAAAATATTACCAGTATATAATAGACTAAAATACTGAAGTCAAACAAGACCCCAGTACGAAATTGAACACTGACATGTTGACTGGATACATGTATATTGTACGCGTGTGTGTTCCCTTTTTCGACATGGTGAGCTAGTAATTTTTTTTCAGGAAATATTGCTGGACACCCTGAACATTTTACTAGTTGGTCAGTCGTGGGGAATACACATTTTCCCCTGAAAATACACATTTTCATATTTCCCAATACTCGTTTCGGTTTTCTGTGGTTGGCATCTCTGCAGAGAGGATGATACTGTTATGTTAACAACAAATGTTTTAAGAGGACCATGAGAAGATATAAGCATATTTTGCATGCTTGAGTCGAAAGGATTCTTTGTAGTTCAAGGTCAGGGGGCACCTGTTGGTACCCATCATACTTACAAAATGTGATATATGGTCTCTTGAAAGAGGCTCTTGTGATCTAGAGGTCTGAGATACAGTTGTTCACCTCTTATTTTAAAGGTTTGGGGATTTAAACCTGCCAGCAATGAAAAAATGTCCTTCTCTAAAATGTTCTCCTTTGTCAACCTTTCCTGTTCTCTAGTCCTGTTCCATCATCTGTTTTCATCTCCACTCACTCCTGACTCTTTATATAGCTACTCCTAGCTCCTTACTGCTTGTCTTTCTGCCACACCCCTGATCTTAGGGTAGGTAAAAATCAAACACTTAACATTCTTGGATAAAGATGAAAAATCTTGGAGGTCCTGTGTGCAAGTTGTAAAGGTCTTAAAATCAATAAAAGTAGGCTTCAGTCGCCATCTGTGAAAAATTCAAAATTAATTCCTATCAAAACTGAAAATACTCAAATTAACATTTTTTAAAAATAATACCTTCAAAATCTGAATGTGGTTGCCTGAGGACAAGGAGCCATGTGGAGTTGGAAATGTCAGCGGTCATGTGTGTAAAAATCAGTTGCACTGCAAGTCGGGTAACTAGCAGTCAACTACCCCTGAGGCTGAGGTCTATCAGGGGACTGCAAAGAAAAATAATTATCTTGAGTCTCATTTATTTCTATTTGTCCCTTCAGTTTATAGCTGTCACTGTTATAAAAACTTGAAGGAAATGGAGAGGGGACTGCAAAAACTTGTATGACCAGTTCTTGTTGCTAGACTATTTCAGTCTCATCATAATGTCCCTGGTATTTGTGTTGAGTGGTTTTATGTCGGTAGGCTTTGTTTCGGGTTACTTTTTAGACTGCAGTATTAATCTTAATCTCGTAAACTTTGCTATGGTTACTGAAATAATGGAATTTGAACACCCCTTACATATGTAGTAGTGTTGGCCAAAGTGTCTTTTTTTTGTGGCTGGCTCTCAGCGATTCAGTTTATTAATCATGATTATTACTCACATCTGTCTGTTTGTTGTGGAATGAGTTGAAGATTTAATCATGTTTCTTGTTTGTTCTTATGGTTTGCAACTAACCCCTATTGAGTACGGTACTTGATTGATTCAAGCCACATCAAATTGTTTGTAGAAAACTTGTGTTTTTAAGAGGCTCATGGTGATTTTCTTAAGATTTCTACAAACTCTATGGAAAGTTCATTTATTTTAAGAGGTTCATTGAGTTTGTTTCACTGACTGACTGAAACGAATCTGGACATTTGAGACTTTGTAGGCAAACAAAATTTAGTAAAAATACAAAGGTAAAGGTGTTTCCAAGATTATTATTGTACCTTTTACAGAACAGATGATCTCTGTGTCAGACATCACAGTACTGCTTCAGATGAAAAGATGAATGTTGCTCACAAACAAAACCAATACTATGATTAGTATGACTGGAATTCAGACAAAGAAGTAATAAGAGGTGTTAAGTATATGCTGACGAATCTACAGAGGGTTATTCTTCTGTTGTAATTTATCTTTGATAAAAAGTAAAAACAGGCAAATTTATTTTCAGATTTTAGAGCAAAATTTCTTAACTTTTAGAGTTCATTGGCTTGAATGTGTTTTAACTCTTTCAGCCCTGAGTTTTTTCCATGTTTCCCCGGAGATTTTTTTCTGCAGTCACCCAAACCTGGTGCACTGTGTCTCCTTATAACCCCAAAAGCCTGCCTCCAACTTCTAAATAGTGGAAACAGAGGCTTAGTCATTACTAAAAAAAAGCTTGGTTCGGGAATAGTTCCCCAAAACAAGCAAAAACTAGCACTAAATAAACGAAACAGTTGTCAGTAGTACAAGACGCTCCCAGCGTCAGATGGGGAGCAGGGTTATTACCGCCGGATGCTCCCAGCATCCGATGGGGTTCAAAGAGTCAAAACATATTTGGTCTGTCATATATTTACTTTCGTGATAGAGAAAATATTTCATAACATACATGACTTCCAATACATGCAGCAAACATCATCAAGAATGTGGTAGACCCCCAAAGCCAAGTAGTATTCCTAACAGATGCCATGTCAGTACTGCAGGCAATCACTTCCGGCAAACTACCGAGGCTATGAAAAGTAATTGAGGACTTCCCATGTCTGAGGATCATGCTGCAGTGGATTCCATCACACTGTGGTGTTTTGGGAAATGAGCAGGCAGACAGGATGGCCAAACTAGGAGCACAGAAAGAGCAACCAGACAACAGCGTTAACTACACAGAAATAAAAACTATTATAAATACACTATATAAAGCACCTCAGACACCAGATGGCTACCATGAGCTGTCCCGCCAAGAACAAGTGTGATTATCTTCAGACTAAGGACACAACACACAAGACTGAGACAATATATGTACAAATGTTTTAAACTAGTACACTCACCAAAATGCCAGTGTGGAGAGGCAGACCAAACTGTTGAACACATCCTCTAGCAATGCAAGACACACAGGGCCCTGAGACAGGAGACGTGGCCAACTCCACTGACGCTACAAGAGAAGCTATACGGACCGACAGATGAACTGAGCAGGACGGCCCAATTTATGACAGATACCAGACTTCAAGTGTGATGCAATCGAGAAGAAGAAGAAGAAGAATACATGACTTCCATTTTACTGATGAGCAGAAATGTTTTCGTTATAGCTATTGTCTCTTCATATTTTTACCTCTTGACTTCAAGGGTAATTGATTTTGGTTCTTCAGCCCACAGTGCAACAGATTTTTTTGTTATGTCGCTCTCCATTTGGGCAGCCTCATGCCCTTTTTTGTGGTGTAGTTTATTATGTGTGCTGACCAGGTTTCTTCAGTTTTAGGAAAAGAGTAATCTAGAATTTTGGCCTAAGCAAGCGTGATATTCTTTGAATTTCAACTGTAAAGATTTCTTGACTTCATGCATAAGGGACCCTTGAGTTTTTCTTCCTTATCTAAGAAGAGAAGGCACTCTGTCTGGGAGAAGAGGAGCAAAGAAAGAAGGTAGCTGCTGACTATATCTATTCAAACCTTACATTGAACCAAGTACTTTAGCATCAATGATAAGCGCCTTACTTTTGCATTTATATTCCTCAGTTATATTGTTAAATCTATACGTCTGTCCTTTTATTTATTTATTTTTTGTTCATTCTTTGCTTTCCAGTCAGCTAGAGATACCGGAAGAGCAGGAATGTCGAATGAAAATCCAGCAAAAGGTATCAGTATCATCATGAATCTTTTATTCATTTATACTATTGTCATAATAAATTCTTTCACTATTAATTGTAGCCATAGCTTGTTTATTACATTACAGAATGGCTCTTAATTCTCCTTGTTAATTGATGCAAACAATAAAAGAAGTGCATGAGCTACTCTCTTCTCTTTCCAAACTCTGTTTATCACTTTTAGTGAAATTAAAAGGTACTATGTAAAAGTTTTAGGTAAATTTGTTTGCATGGGTAAAAGTTTGCCGGCTGTGGCAGGAAATTCCGGCAAGAGAAAGCCAGTTGGTGCCAGCAGCCGCTGTCGACCGTCCTTAACTGGACTAACGTCGATCTTGTGAAGCACAGGTTTCTTTCGTTTACCTGACAACTGTCTTTAAAAAATCCGATTTTTAACTACGCTGCTCGAGTTCTAGCCTAAATTGACAGTACAGGTGTGATTGGATTATCTTTTCAGGCAAAGTCTGTTGAGATGCTATGAGTTTGAAAGTTTTCAGGCAAAATGGTTGTGACCAATTCCTAACCATGTTTGTTTGTGATACATGTATGTTTGTTTGAGAGGGGGGAAAGAGAGAGTGTGTGTGTGGTAGTGAGTTTCAGCACTGATAGATACAGTATACTCACCTCTTCAAGTTTATTTTTGTGCTGTTTAGTAACAAATTTCTTTTGAATCGTGATTTTTTACTTTTGCCTTTTTTTAAAAGGTTTTGCTGGACTTTTTTCTGCCACTGAAAGTGAAGGACATCAACCTTTGCACCTTGCCTCTGACACTGTCAGGTAGGATTTTGTGTTAGTTGTAAGTGACAGATAAAGACAGTGGTGAGAGGGGCTGCAGTGGCTGGCTGGTCACTGGAGAGCGTCCTTGAGCAAGACATTGTGGCCTGGGAGCTGCTGTGTAGCAACTTGCAGCAGTATGTTTGTAAAATCACCTACATGCAAAACAGCCCCAAATTTCCCCTATGTGAATAAATGAAAGAAACATTTCTCTGTAACTGTTAATACAAATAGCTCTCTTTGACCTGAATATATTGTCACGGCAATTGTTTATCGACTTATTTTTGTTTGCAATTTCACATACCTAAAAGGAAGGTGGTGTGAAGAAAACTTTGCCTTACTCTTCTTAGCTACTCCTTTCTGCATGGAGTAGCAAAAGAATCAAATATTTTGGAAAATACAGATACAGAAGAAAAACTTCTCACAGTGACAATAAAGTATGATCTTATCTTATGTTGCGGGAGGTTTTTAACTTTTAATTTTTTTAACCAAAATGCTTTGCTAATGACAAAATTTGCACATGCTCTTCATCTTCCTATTACTGATGTGAGTTTTCTGTCAAAGATCAAGCCTGTAGCTTTTGTGGTTTGGCTTTTTCATTTTAACAGGCTCTCAGATTTTATTGAAATATGTGGACATAAAATTGTGATCAAATATGAAAGGCCCATGCTGAGCATTGAATTTTATCATCTGACTTCTGCTGGGTATATTGCATTGTATGAATACTGGCGTCTTTATGTTATCTTAATTGATAAGCTCATGATGATGCTGTTTGGAATGTGAGACTGAAGTATCTTCTTTGATCATCTACATTTGATCACTGTTATAATCTTGAACAAGTGTTTTCAAAGAAGTTTAATATATTGGGGGTTTTTTTTAATGGGAAGAAGCTTCTTGTTAATTGTAGAATGTTCAAAGATATGTGAAGCCTTGTTTTTAGAGACTTAACAAAATAATTGGTGCTTGTATTGATTGGAGTAGTTACCATTTCTTTTAAAATGTATGAAATGTTGTTTTATCATTGTTCTGCACTTGTTTATCTACAGCAGTGACAATGGCAGTTCCTCAAAGGACGAAAATGACAGAAATGTCACAGTGATTGAAAGAGTTGCTGCCAGTAAGTTAAGCATTGAGTGTGTGTGACTTCCATGCTGTTTCGGTCTTTATCTTTGAAAACGGATCTTCCCTAACAATGTAAGCATAGCATTAACAGTTTACATTGTAACATTCTATACAAGGCAGGGAATGAATAAATTTTGAAAAACTTCTGCTTTCCTTTCAGTTTAAATTTAACCCATCGCGGCTAGTCGTGATACAGCAACTGTCCCTCAGAGATTACAAAATCCGATTTGGGTACGGAACCACCAGAAATGGTTTAAACTAAGATTAACTCTTTAACCTTGTCTGGACGGTGGCAGCGTCCGGTAGTCGAGGTCCATAACCATGGCTGGACGGTACCACCGTCCGATGCGAAGTTATTATGGTACGGGCCAAATATAAAAAAGTACGAGCTAACAAACCTTTAGTTTGTCCCGGAAGTCAAAGATGAATGAATTCTACGTCTGGGTAATGCTTTATTGATCAGTTTGACAAGAAACAAGCGTTTTTAAAAATGTAATATATCAGGTTGCATTTCCACAAACACAAGAGAATTATGCAGAAACGTGATTTTAAATTGCATAGTTAAAGAGTTGACTTTTTTTAAGGAAGAATTTCCTATCATTTCCTGCCCCAAACAAGAAGCTAGACAGAGAATTGGAATAGAAAATGAACCGTCTAGGAATTTGTTTACATCAGTCACAAAGGCAGTAATCAAATGGGAAATGGCTGCAAATATGAATGTCTGCAACCTGTTCAACGCATTTTATTTGGACAGTAAAGATTCAAGAGGAAACAGACTGCACTTCAATGCAAAAAGTGTTCGGTATATGTAGCCGTCTGTGTCCTTGGCTGCTTTGAACTGTATCAGTCACACCAGGACTTGTAGAAATTTGACACCACATCGTCAGGACCAACACACAGGCAAAGACACTGACAAACAAACAAAGTAAATCTATGACAAGGTATTGCTTTGAACATTTTTATGTTGTGTTTTTTCTTCACTCAATTTCCAGTTTAATGATGTTTGATTCATATTTCTATCTTAAAAATTAAGGAAGTTATTAACATTTTTCATGACCCACCCTAATTTTCATGTTCTCAAATTAATTCGCCTCTTGAAGGGTTAAGAGGGTTTTTTTCATCAACGCTTTGTGGAGATTTAGTTGGCTCGAAGTATGAGCTGTTAATTTTTAGGCAGTGTGATGAGAGAAGATGATGTGATGTATGATTATTTTGTCTGTGCCTTTAATATGGTTGTGGTATTGTAGGCTCTTCTCTGTACATAATTAAGTGTGCTTGGCTTTCTATTTTATTTTCCCTAAGCCTCTAATGACGATGAAGAAGCTGACAGAGTTCCTGTGTCAACACCTGCTGAACACATTGGAAGTCTGCATCTTTCAGCAGAGCCTATGCTGGTGCCAGAGACAATGGACAGTTTGTACGTGTTGCTAAGGACAACAGCAATTTAACACCCTTGGAATTGTTTTATTTGTTTAGCCATGAGAAAACCATGGTAGTCACAGTGAAAAGTGCTTTTGTGGTTGTCATTGTATTCTTTATTATAGTTACTGTAAATTGTTCTAGGTAATGCCAAGGGACCTGGTTTGATTCTGGTTGCTGTAAGTATGCTGGTGATTGGAATTTGCATCAGGTTTTCTTACCTTTGGTCTACATATGTATATATGTAAATTGGAGCAGCTTCATGTAGGTTGGTTAGGTGGTTTTTTTGGTTTTTGTTTTGTTTTTTCAAGCAATGACAATTATGGAAGGTCCTTTTTGTGTTGTTCTCCTTAATAATACTTCTTTGATTGAAAAAGTATAAAGGAGTTTTCTTGCCCGAGCTAGAAAATTTGAAATCAACCCCTGTCCAGAACAATTTTGGTTAGTGTGAGTGATTTAGAATGCCTTTCACTGCAATATTAACCTCCTATAAGTGTAAGGCAAGATTCTCAAAGTGTATGCTGGCAGTACAGCTGTGTGGGCAATGTCAGTTACTCATGTGAGTGGAATCATTTAAAGCTGAAATGTAGTCTTGTTCCTATTCACATAATAATTTTTATTTTTTTTCACTAGCCCTTTTATTTTGTTGGTAATATTTTAGTGGTTACAGGAGGATTCAGGCATTATATGGTCAGTGAATGTTGTTTAAGGTCGAGTTGGGACAGATTCTTTGTCAAGGAATGTCATGACCTTGTTGTCATTGTTTTTGTCGTCTAAGTGTTGCTGATAGTCTACAATGAACCAACTAATTTCTATTCTCAATGCGGTATGGGCGTACTTGAATCATGGCATGTATTTGGAAAGGAAAATGTTCTCTATTTATGGTTCCAAAGTATTAATTGTTTCGTCTTAAGTACCTGTTCTTAACCTTCTGATTTTTGTGAGTGTTTTTTTTTTTCCTTCAGTGATGAAGTTGGCCCCTCTCCAGATGCCTACGGTAGTGCTCCGCTCATTATTCCAGATTCTCCATCAATGGAAGGAAAAGGTAGGTAAATTTTCTCTCTTGTAACACGTGTCTCACATTGTTGTCTTGAAATCTGTAGGGTACTCCATGAGCTATACTGAAATCATATTTGATGACCATGGTTTGATTCCCAAAAGGGGCATTCATGAATTTGTGTTAACTAGGGAATTTTCAGGGATGTCCATCCACTTGTCTTGTAGCGGTGATGGATATTAGATTTGGTGGTACCCTTTCAGTGTTGAAAGTGGCATTGCACCCAAACCACACTAAATCTGTAGTCACTCAAAGGGAAGGGTGTTGGAAGACCCTACTTCGTGGCTTGTTGCTGCTATTCAAAGCTTTGGTGGGCCACTTTGTTTAAGAAATATAAGTTCCATATTTTAAGAGAAAATAGATGGACCTTTTCAGCATGTAATCTTCTCTTTTTATTCAATCATCATTAATAGCAGAGAAAGCTTAAATTGGTTTAAAATGTGTGAATACTTTCCTTCAGAGGCATGAACCAAAATAAGATTCAGTCCATAGCTGATAAGCTCAAAGAAGAAAGCACGAGATACTCAATAGTACACATAATTAAGAATTTATTAGTTTTATCTGTGTGATGTTACTTACATGTGCTTTATTGTGAAGTTTATCACTGCTTTTGGGGCAATGAGTGAGTGAGTGGATATAGAGAAGAAGGAGAAAGGTGGTTGGGGAGGGAATAGGAAGCGGGAGTGTTTTATAATTCCGGGTTGCATCTCGGTTGTAGACTGCACCCTTTCATTTGATTTTTTCCGGGACGCCACATTTATAACTACTACTTTGTGTCTGTGTTTTCTTCAGTTTATTCAGTATGAACCCTTAGTGTCAACGTTTGCTCTATGTTTATTGTGACTGGTAGAAAAGGTTCATCCTTGAGGGGATGAAAAGATTTTTTCCTTTCGGTGGACATTACGTTGCATGCACAAGTTTGTTGTAATGTTTTGAGTGTAACATTTGAATTTGTTTCAGGTGAAAATGAAGATGATGAGGAAGAAGATAATGTTGTGTCTTTCAAACCGACAGTCCCAACGTTAGAAGATGAATTCCTACCTGTAAGTAAATACTTATTAACTCTTTTTTTTACTCTCCTACCCACCAAAGGATAATGTCAAAACATCCAACTAAAAACACACAAACCATATCATATGGCTCATCAAACTGAAGGTGAAAAGATAATCTTTCAGATGGTGGTACAATATTGAAGATTTATTACAATTATATTAGCAGTTTGCGGTTTCTAAAAGTGATTATGCAATATCGAAAATGTCATATAAAATCAACAATTTTCAAGGTTTGAAAGGTCACAACTAAAAAAGTACAACTACAGCATTATTCAAACTTCCCAGGTAGGTTGCCATAGTAATGCAAAGAGATGCTGAAAGTTATGTATGTGTACCTATTATAGAAGTGAAAATATGAGACATATTATAATGAAGTCAGGAGAGCACTTTTCTTTTCACTTTTAGGTTTCGAAGGGGACAAAAAAAAGCGCTGAAATTACAAAAAAATCGTCTGTCAGTGCTATAGTTTCTTTCATATCCGCTAACAGGAAGTCTATTCTATTATTTCGAAAACATGACTCGGAGGAGAATTTCCTTTTCATTACTGGATTGGAATAGATGGCGAGCCACTCGAGCCGTATTTTGCGGCTCTTGGTCCAGCGAAGCCACGTTCGTGAGTGCGGCTCGCAGTAGGACAAGTGTTGATAATTCTCTTTTTATGTGCCCATGAAAAGATTCCACAGTCACAGACAAGATCTGAGAGTTTATCTCTTTGGCACATGTCCTGATAGCCATGTGGCAGTGTGAGTACAAAACATATCCAAACCAGAACAAGAAGAAGAAATGTATCAGTTCGGGAGACTTAAAATTCTTAGTAAAGTGATATGTTTAGTCACTCTTAACTCTGTTTTTTTCCAATTTCGATTTTATTCCTTTTGTTATTAACAGGTTAGTGAGTTCATTGTCTGCTTTTTCTTTGTGTTTCAGGTCCGTCATTCCTATCAGCAAAGTCAAGCAAAATCTGGTGGGTAATGAGAACTGGTGTAGTCTGGAGTCACGATAGTTTTGCAGACTTGCTAAGTACTCAGATAAAATCTGAACTCACCTGTTTCTTTTTTGCGTGTCAAAGAACCCCAGTCGGATTTGCATGAAATCTAATTTTTTTTTTTCTCTTGAATTCCGTTCCCGTTTGCTGTTGAAACAAATTTGTTTTCTTAGACTTGTTGCCACAGCCTTAGACTTCTTGTATTTGTCAGAAAAGTTTAGGGATCATGGAATTGCAAGTTCTTTTTGGTTATGTAGAGGGAAATGTGTTGACTATCAATCCTCCTTGCTGACAAATGAATAAAAGCAGTATAACATGTTTGTTGTGGATATCTTCAGTTTTTATAAATCATTTTATAGTGAATAATTGATTTGGGCTTCTGTCTCCTTTGTCATATGTGAAATTCAGATGGAACTCTTAACTTTATCTTCACTGCTGCCACCCTCATTGTGCTGACTGTTGGATTTGTTTGTCCCCCCCCCGGCTGTGCTACTGACTGAAGTGTCTTTAGGCCATTCCCAAAGGGGGAACATTAACATGTTCTTTTGCAGAGTAGAATTGTAAATGGGCTGATTCATCAATGTCATGCTCATAAGTCTGCCTGAACTGCAACAGGGAACTGCTGCTTTTCCTTACTATCGTCATTATCTTCTACTTCTTTTGTATGTTTGTCACACTCTTGTGACCCGCTATTTCCGGGGTTCCTTAATAGTCGAAGCAGATTTTGTGCTGTTGAAGCTAGAGAGGTGAGCAGAGTAAGCCTGATTCCCTGTAAGGACTTCTCTGTAGACATCCACCCTTTGGCGCTCAAATGACCAGGGGGAACATTAACATGTTCTTATGCAGAGTAGAATTGTAAATGGGCTGATTCATCAATGTCATGCTCATAACTCTGCCTGAACTGCAACAGGGAACTGCTGCTTTTCCTTACTATCGTCATTATCTTCTACTTCTTTTGTATGTTTGTCACACTCTTGTGACCCGCTATTTCCGGGGTTCCTTAATAGTCGAAGCAGATTTTGTGCTGTTGAAGCTAGAGAGGTGAGCAGAGTAAGCCTGATTCCCTGTAAGGACTTCTCTGTAGACATCCACCCTTTGGCGCTCATATGACCTTTTGCAGTTGCGAGCGCCGTAAAATCTCTACTAAAACAAACTTTTTTTTCTTTTTTTTTCACTTCAAATTTTTATGCTGTTGTTGATAAGATCAGGCTAGTGTGAGGTCAAAGAAGTGGTTGCCTTTTCTGCTTGGGGTTTTATTTTATTTTTTTTATTTTTTTATTTTTTTGGTCATCTGTGCTGGTGGTTGAAGTGTGCCACAGGCAGTTCTTTACTGTCCGTCTTTGTTTTTTGTGTGTATGTCACTGCTCTAAAAGGCTGTACTGTTTTTTTAAACAAAACGTCTATCTTTTTCAGAATCCCAGAGTTTTCATTTGAGACTCACACCCTCACAGCCAGATCAAGCTGGTATGATTTTTTACTTTTATATTTGAGCTCCCTAAGAGACACAAAATATTCATTTTGAAGGCAGACTATTTACCTTATACAGTTGTGAGCATCGTAGAACCTTACTAAAACAAACAAGACCATTTATAGAGGAATTATGGGGTCCATCTTTTGTCTGTACATAATTTTCAGGTGACAGTCACAAAAGAGAGGTAGAAAGGAGGCACAGTAAGTACAGAGGAAAATGCCACTCCTACCCTAGAGAGATTGTAGTGTCGAAGTGGCTTCCCACTGACAGGGAAGTTGCTAGAGCTGTACACAGGTAGCAAACCCGCTCGTGCTCGCAAGCCCCTAGTTCAAGCCACAAGCCTCAAATCACTAGGTCAAATCATCAAATCAAATCTCCAGCATGATAAGTTGAGTCTAGCCTAAGCTTCAAGTCCACACCAACTAGTAATCCGCGAAGCCACTAGTGTCAAACCCCTTCATCCTCCCCACCCTGCTTGCAATCCGCGACGTCACTTACGTCAGAAAGAGAGAGGGGGGGAGAGAGAGAGACCCCGCTCACAGTGTCACTGTGTGGCATAGCGCTGGGGTCTGCTCTATTAATCGAAGGTTTGCGAGCAGCGGACGTCCATCAAGTCTCAAATCCCGTCCACAGCACAGTTTGACTCTTGAGTCCCTGAATTTGCTTTGCCTCCCATTTCTTGCTCTGTGTCCCTTGGCTTGCTTGCAACCTGGAAAGACACCTGTGCCCCACTACTGCGTTTGCAGGGCAACACCGCTCGCCAGCAGCAAGACCTTGGAGTAACTATCATCAAGACCGGTAATCCACCCCGCTCGCAGTGTGAACTGTGGAGGAAGGGAAAGGCTGTGCTTGTTTTGGTGCAAGACGTAGAGAGCCGAAGATATTTTTAACTTCCCGCCGTTGATCAGCTAAGCGTGTGGATGAAGTGAGAGGAAATGTGGCATTGTAGTAACAGAGACCTAATCTAGTAATAAGTAGACTTAGATTACCTTAGAATGGAAAACTCCAGGGGTCGTTGTGATTGGCTTTTGTATCATATGTATGTAGCATATTACTTTTGTAGATGTTTAACACTCCCAATGACATAATACAGAACATTTAGGAGACGGGCTAGGCCAACTTCAACCCAATGTCAGGGCCAACCTGGGCTGAGAGAAAACAACGCCCCAGCAGAAAGACGGAGGTTCTCAGTAAAAATTTCTACCCATACGGGAATCAAACAGGTCTTTTGCGTGCGACGACGAAGCGCTTAATCCGTGCACATTTTTTTAAAAAACGGCCTTTGCATCGTGAGAATAGCCGTTCCATTATTAATTTTAAAGTGCATTGAATAGAGCTTTTTCTTTTTTACAACCCGACTATGGAAAAAAAACAATCTTGCACTTTTTGGTGCTAGCCTCTCAACGCAAATGACAAGAGAATCTTCTGTAATATGTACTGAGCCCACAACCTCGAGAGTTCGTGACGTCACGACACAGTACAGCAAGACTGTCTGAGAGTCACAACTCACCGGAAGTTCCCCCTGGTAGCGAGCGGGAGGCAAAGCAAAGCACAAGCCTGTCCGCAAGCCTCTGGCGCAAGCCGTCTGTTGCTCGCAAGCCTTCGATAAATCGTGCAGTCTCCAGCTCTAGAAGTTGCACTACTGAGTCCACCTGTAAATGGGACAATGGACTATTTGAAATCCCCCAGCCTGTGCGGGGCATTCTTACAAGGCTAGGCTTATTATGTCTTATTTGAGGACACTGCTCTGCATGTACCGGTACTTGTCTGAGAGCCCTGTTGTCACCAATATTTATCAACTCTTAGAGTTTGTCTTTCTACCTTTGATGTCCTAACTGAAAATATATACAACTAAAAAATTTGTTTTGTGTTTCTTTAAAGTACTGGCCTGTAGCTCGCTCCCTCAGTCGTACCTATTGGAAAGCCTTTATAGTTAGAATTCAATTAGAATGGTACACAGAACACATTTTCAACAACTGAAAGTTTGGGATCTCCATTTCTTTAAAGGGATACTCAGAGGTATAAAGTTAACTTATTACTATTACAGTATATGCATATTCAAATCAAGCCTGTCAAATTACACAACTTCAAATGATTTACACCGATCACTTATCAAGATTTCTTAGTCTCGTGCTAACAATTTAAATCTCTATAAATACCATGATGCATTTATTTTTTATAACTTTTTCTTCCCTTGGCCTTTCAGCTAGTGTACGTGAAGACGATTCTGCCTCACAATTCTCACCGAGGAAAAATGTGGCAGGGTAAGTATCTGTGCAGTGCCTTTTCTCAAAGGCACTGATTTGTCACCAATGATGAATGTGCAGTCGAACCTATTCAAGAAGATCACATATTGTTGAGGAGAAAGTGGTCATCTAAGACAGGTGGTCCTCGTGGATAGTGGGAAGTGGTCTTTTGGACTGGTGGTTATCCTGGTGGTCATTGCAGCAGATTTGACTGTATTTTTGTGTGGGTTTTTTTGTCCTTTAGTTTATTTGGTAAGAGTTTTACAGCTCTCGCTACTGCACAAGGCCATATGAGTGCGCCATTCTGTCGTTTGATGATGGCATGTGTGGGTAATTAAGCTAATATGTGTCAGAAAATGCCAGTTACTTCAAGTGCGAGGAAATGATAGATATTCTGCTCTCAGTTGCATCACCTTGTGTCTCTTAAGGTGTTGCAAATATATTCCTTCTTTGATGTGTCTTTTTCTTTTGTCTTACATTTGGTGTTGACTTTCTATTTCACTGACTTCACATCTTTATCATCTATACCCAGGTTTTGAAGGTTGGCCTCTTTGACTGTAAGGTTGTTTTTGGTGTGGTATCAATTCGAATTATCAAAATGTTCACTTTCACGACAATATGGTCTTCAGTAAGAAACACCCATAAGCTGATAATAGTACAGGGATTCCTTCTGTCTGCTTTGAAAACATTGTACGTAAACATAGATTCACAAGTTTGTTGTAGTAAATGCTGCAATGCTTTCTGTCTTAATGGAAAGTTTTCAAAAAAATACAATGCACTGGCCACTCTAAAAATAGGTTATAAAGTCAAATAAATTTATAAGTTGGTAGTGCTTTGTCTCTTTAACTTTATTTTACAAATAGAATAGCCATAGTCGTGCTCTGGGGATTTCAGGATCATCATTATTATAGAATTTTATATTGATGTCTACTAGTCTTATTGTGAAGGTTTTAATGTGCATTTTGTTGTTCTGTAGTAACGTTTGATTATTTTTAGTGGGCTTCCTTTCGCATGCATACCTACATGTACTTATTGTGTTTCATTTTATACTGTCCTTCAGATACTTTGGAGTATGTGATGAAGTAAATGGCTGCTTATGAATTGTATGAGAACTGCAGTTTGAATCCTTTGTTGAAGTATTTGTGTGCTGAACTTCTTGCTTTTGATAGATCTTTAGTACCGTATATAACCAAGGACACTTTTTTTTCAAGTCAGATTGGGTGGAAAGTTAGACTGGCCAAGGGACATATCTTTTGAATATTCAGCAGTGGATTAAATCTGTGTCCACCAAATGATTTCTCTCATGCCGACGGTCCAGAAAAATTAAGTACCCCTGAACAGGACCTTGATGAAAGTAAAAGGTTGTACAGTCGAAAGTAACACTTGCTATTAGAAAGGAGTTACAATTCATGAAGTTTTGTCATTTTGTGAAGGATGTGTTGGAAATGGTTTAACTCAAAGTGTCAATCTAGACTGGTCACTGCTGTTATGTAAATTCTACCATATATGGGGCGGGGGGGGGGGGGGGGGGGGGGGAGCATCATTGCAGAAGAATTTATTACACTTCTTTTGCATTTTGTCTTGTGTCTCATGCAGATTGGAGGGAACAGGGCCAAGCACAAGCAAAGAGACTTCCTCTGCCCTGCCTTCTTTTCATTTGCAAAGTGAGTGAAAGTTACTATTTCAACTACAGAACGACAGAATAATTGTTGTCAGTACTTGTCAGAGATTTGTAAAATGATTTTGTATCACAGATTTGTTTGGCGATTTGATTTCTCTGATTTGTAAGATATAAGTCAAATTATATCATAGATCTAGAGTGGGGTGGGATTTGATGTGATAACTGGCTTTAAATAAGATTTTTAAGGGCATGTGATATTGATATCAGAGATTTGTATATTGTATGTATCAAGTTCAATAAACAGCTAAACTCATTTTCTTTAGCATCTTTAGATGTCTGTAGCTGTCAGTACCTTGAAACATTTTGAACATGACTAGTATAAATAGTTCGGGCAGACTTCAATCTACTGTTATAGTGTGTCTGTAGTTTGTGGCATTGGTGTAATTAGTTTTATAGTCGATAGAACTGTAGGGACTGAAAATTGAAGTACTGTCTCGTGTGCTGGGTTTTTTTTCATGTACAAGAATGTTCTATTAATCTCCGCTCTATCCTTAGAGCCGTCTATTCCAATGGAAGAGGTTGAGACCAATGAAGATAGTGAGCGCAGCATCAGCGTTTTCCAAAGGGTCAAGTCAGGTCTTTCCACCCCTCAGAAAAAGACACGGATATCAGATGATAGGTAACTAGTAGACTTTGTGCATCTATTGGGAATATTTGTGAGTAGAATTTCTGTGCCTGTAGACTTTTGTTTTCAATTTCAACAAATTTTCTTTGCTATGTCTTGTCATCACACTCACCTTATAGTAGCTTTGTATTTGTCTCTCTCATAATGGTTACATTAGCAACTGTAGCCTCCTTCCAGATCTGTTTATGGGGCTCAAGAGAAGAAAAAGAATTTAATAGTTTTTAGTGCTGAGCCTTGATGTTTATAAATCTTTAAAATCCATTTTTCCTTTGTTTTAAAACTGGAGGTTGATGCTGGTTGTGATGGGCTGTGTGTTGTTTCTTTCCCTCTTCTGCGACTCGTGTCTTTTGTCTGGCTGTCTCTGAGAACAATATGACCATCATTCTGTTTTTCTGTACCTGACTTTAACTTGGTTTGTTTAGGGGGGGGTTTTTTGGAGTAAAATGTGAAGAATTTTTTTTGTACAAATTGCCTCTGACTTACCTTGTTACAGTGAAGACTTTCCAGCAGTGAGGAGCCCCAGAGGGCGAATTCATACCGCAGAGAAGCCACTGTTGCCTGAGGAAAGGGGGAGCACTCCTGGGAAGCGAGAAAAATTGGCTCATGGTAGTGGTGCATCTAGCTCATATCGTTCTTCAAAAGTCAGTAAATCTCTACTGTCTGAGAGTTTTATGAAAAGTCCTTCGAAGTCCAAAACAGGCCATGTAGATGTCGGAGAGTCCAACAATAATCTGGGTGAGGCAGCACTGATGGCAGGTTCAAGAAGTTCCAGTGCATTGAGAAAGGACATCTTGTCATTTAAGCTGAAGGGAGACCAAAGTTCTCCTCACCGTTTTGACCAACCACTAGTCATGGACTCAGAGCAGCCGGAAGTGATAGTCTGTGAAGAAGACACAGAGCAAGGTTTTGACCTGGGAGAGCAAACTGTGTCTTACGAGTTTGACAAAAAGGAACCTGCACACCCAGCTAAGGGTGTGGAACCTGCGGATCAATTTACAGAGGAATCTGAGAGGATCAATATTGTCTGCAGCAGCAGTGAGGATCCGATAAATCCATCTCAGAAGCGAGCACCGGTGTCTAAAGTAAGAGGCTTATCATTGGATGAGGAAGAGTCTTCAGCTGTGAAGATCTTTGAACAAGAGACTTTGGTTGATCCTGAGAGTAGACCAATTTCACGGAAGGTTGGAGAAAATAAGAATAAAAATATTTCAGCTGTATCAGATGGACGAAGTATTGATGAAAAAGGGGACTCACAGGATCAGAAAAGACTCCATGGTGAGCCTTCTTCGGGTCACACTGAGGCTAGTACTGAGAAATCGGCCGAAAAGACACCTTCAAAATTGATGTTGACAAGCAAATCAAATCTTGGTAGCCAAGGCCGCTCTCGAGATGTTGATCTAACTGAACAGACAGCAAAAAGGACACTTAGGAATGATGACTCTATTCGGGAGCCAAGCTCATCCCTGCAGAACCCGTCTGGGTCAAGGTCACGTCTACATGAAGGAGCGGGTGGGGATGAGCCTCGATCTTCCCCTCCTGCTGCCGGACTCGCTGAGCCCAGTGTGTCCCGGAGCAATATATTCAGGTGGGGAACTGTTGTGAGGAGAACACTTTCTGAACTTTCTCACTGATTTTTTAAATATTGGTAGGTCTCACTTTTGAAACGTTTCCAGGGACCAGATTTTTTTGGGTATTTTTACAGCAAGGTTTGTCTTGAAATTTCAAATGTAATACAAAAGATAAAAAAAGAAAATTGCATGTATTTGCTTTTTGTCTAATTTAAGCCAGGTTTTTAAAACAAATACGTATGCTTTACTCGTGTTCCCCCCCCTCAATTTAAAAAAAAATGAAATGAAATAAATAACGTGCATATTAAAAATTTTGCATATTATTTTTTTTTTGAAGACACATTTTTGAATGGGAAATGTTAATACAAATATTACAAAGTGCATTTCACTTTGTCTTGCATTCAAACTTCTAAAGATAGCTTAAAGATATATTAAAATAGTATAATTTTGTTTCTTTTTATAGTATTATTCTGTTCGTTTGTATCAAGGTACACCAAAACAAATAGCTGTGACTGTTGTAGTTCATAATTATTCTTTTGCTGGAACGAAGGTGCCTTTTGTCTTTGACTTTCTGTCATTGTTCTGATTTGCAGTGAGAGCAACACATTGAGGGAGTCTGCATCATTAGACCCGTACATATTTCGGGGCTCTCAATCTCAGAATTTTGGAGATATTTCTGCACTCCCCCTCTCTGACAGGCCACGGACTGGCCAGCCTGAAAAAAAGAAGTCGATAAAGACAGTGCGGAAAGTGCTGAAGAAGAAAATGCCTTCAAAAGAAGAGATGGCCAAGTCTTCGTCAACAGATGAAGGTACGGGCAAGGAGCAAAGACCCGCACGTCCTGTCACAAAATCCAAGAAAACTGGATCATCTGTGCAAGAGGACGGACAGCCTGATGAGCCAAGAAAGTCTGAAAAGACCCAGTTGACAACAGCTGAGGATAAGAGACAGTTCAGCAAGCCTCAGACACCTCCACCAGTAAGGGCGTCGCCCTCTGCTCGCTCTGGTAACTAACTTTCTATCTCCTGTTGTAGTTGTAGCCAATTCAGCAGTCCTGGTGCCGTATGATAAAGTATGGATTTTTTAAAGTCTGTTTCAACACTGCTTTTATTCAAGAGACTTGACCTCCAATCAAAGGTCCGATAGGAACAAGCTTAGTTGGTGGAGAGCTTTAAGATTTCCCGGCACTACCTAAGTTTAAGAGTGCCTGATTTGGGTATCCCCACTTTAGAACCATGAAATGGCATTTACAAGATTGGTGTATGCTTAGTAGTTCTGTATAAGGTGTCATTGGTATCGTGCTGTTCTACCTTCCATCTCTTTACTGATTTCGTGAATCTGACTGTGCACCTCTCAGCTTTCAATCCACATGTTCATGCAGTCCATTGTTAGTGTTCACTGGGGGGTGGGCTCTTTGAACTATTGTCAGTAGCAGACTCATGTGGATCCTAACGTTTTATTTGATAAAGCATAATATTTGCATGGCAAAGGAGGTAATTTTGTATTCTTCAAATTGTTTCAACACTACTTTTAATTTGAAAGGATGCTCCATAAAATTGTGAATAGCAGTGAGAAGTGGTCGCTTTTAAGCACAATGGGGCTATCTCGAAAAATGCTGTTTTGAGAAAATCAAAGTTTTTGGACCTTTGTTCAGTTTCTTTAAAAGAGAAGGAGGGTTTTCTCTATAACCAAACAAATATGCACACCAATGAAACCAAAGTTCTTCTATAGGTAAGGCAATGCCTGCTTTTGGTGTAGGTCAAGATTTCTGGAAACCCTGAAATCTGGGTTAGCCCGCTTGTCCTTAAAAGCGACCAGTTTGTCATAGGAATTATAATAAGAGTAAAATTCTTTGGTCAGTATAAAAACTTACCGAATAAGCAAAAAAATTTAGTATTTGTGTTTTCCATATCCTGCTTATTTTTAATGCATGTGTATATGATTTGCTGTTTGAAATGTGGAAGTTGATCAGAGTTAGCAGCTGGCCAGATTCACCTCTGTAGTGTTATTGTTTCTGTCCATCTTGCCATTTGCGCTTTTATATTATATACCTTTAGCTTGGCCTCCTAAAACGAAATCAAAATATGTTTAGCTGATCTGTAAGATTATCATATTGTTAGAACAGCCTCAAGAGTAGTACTAGATACCATTACGTTTTATTGTAGTGCACATATTATCAGCTTCTTGTTGTTTTCACTCCGCAGATGTACACTTGTCAGAGACGCTGCAGCTGGACAGAAGTGACTCCCGTGACGGGGCGAGCGAGTCCGTCAAGGCCAGAAAGTCGGCTGTTGTTAGTTTTTCTGATGAAAGGCCTGGAGAGGTACACTTGATCAATGTCCCATTCTTTTTTAGAAAGGGGTGTATCTTTATGGGCTTTCTGGTTTTGTGAAACAACCATAGTGTATACCTTTTCCTGGGGCATACATTTTTCACAAAGATTATTAAGATAAATAGAAGGAAATGTTCTAATAGATATGGTGAAAAGAAAATAGTTGAATGAATTTTTGTATGTTTAGTTTTTTAAATGTCTTGTTGTGAAGTTTTTCTCAATAATTTTGTGTTTTTGGCTATTTTTGATTGTTGTTTTTCTTATGTTTTTTCAGTACATTTAAGATTGAATTTCTCTCTCACTGGTCAGTTTATGATAAGATGTAGTGGCAACTAAACACAAGCGTGCCAAGAATGTTAAACAGTGCTGATGCTACAGCTTTTAGCTAGATGGTCTTTGTGATGTGTATTTGGATGAAACATATTTTTTAAATTTCCCCTAGCTAAAAGACGGGGTACTACACTGCTACAACTAGCCACAGTATGGTATTGTATTTTTAAAAATTTATTGTGTGGTCGTTATCATGTCAAGGCATACAGAATTTTCTCCAGGGTTAAATGAAATTGCATTTTTATTTCATTCTTTCCTCTCTTTACCATGTTATGACTTTAATATCCTCAGGCTGCTCCGTTAGTTCGAGATGCATCGGACAACTCAGACTACGAAGTTGAGAGGACAGTGAAAAGGAGTGTTCTTAAGATGGTGGTGACCGTCATCGAGGAAACAAGAACAGAAATCCTTAACTCCAAGAGAAAAGTTATCAGGCACACAGAGAGCAGTGTAAGAGCACCTTTTATCCCTTTAGTATTCTATGGTCAAGATGTTCCTTCATAATGGTATTCTTTCATCGATATGTTAGTGAATCCAATATGGCGTAGGTGGCCAAGTGGTTAGGCTACCGGACTCGTAATCGTGAGGTTGCGGGTTCGGAAGAGGCAATTTACACTAATTTTCCTCACTTCACCCAGGTGGGAACAGGTACCTGGCCATAGACAGCGAAAGATCTTGTCAGTATGTTAGTGTTTTAGCACCTATAAATCACCACTTGCACTGTATGCTTCCGGGGAAGTTGAGATTGTTTCAGAATGCTCTCAGGTCTGCTGTGGTAATAGTATAGATTGTGAAGCGCATAAAGCTTGCTGTTGAGTGGGGATTTGCGCTATACAAATGCCATCTATTATTATTATTTACCTTTTGAAATGAGTAATTTTTTATTTTCGTAATGCACCAGAATAAAGAAATGAGTCGGTGTTCTGTCTGTGTCGGACTGTATCTTTGTCCACCTTGAGGTGATTGGAAGACTCTAATGCTGCTTCTTGACTCCTCCTTATTTGTTACTGTGAGTGGCTTTTCCCTCTTTCTCGAAATACAGTTTTTGCATTTGTTAACATCTCTATTTTTCCAACTTCAGTAAGTTCTTTGACCTCAAAGGTACCTTCTTGTGTCTTGTTGTGTTGTGAAATTCAAAACAGATCTGAAGGCAGTACTTTCTTACACTCATTTTACAGCTGCAGTGACTAAAAACAGAAAAATTTCATTTTCTTTAAGTAGAGTCTTATGTTTGTCCACAGAGGACAGTGTTTCACCAAGAGATGGAACCAGTTGTGACATCAGAGGAGGTCAAAGAGCACACCATCTCTCCGGTCGTGTCACCATCTCGGTCAGTGAGTACAGTAACCACTGGAGACTTGGCAGACATCAGCTCCTCGTCATTGTCCCGTACTTACAGCTCAGGTGAGGTGTTGGAGGACTCTGTGTGTTTCTTGTATTGTCCTAACAAGATCCATCAGAAAGTCCACTCTAGGTTTTCAACCCACGGTGCAACTGATTTTACTTATATGACCTATTGTCGTTATAAAATAAGTTTATCTTGCATTTAAACTGCTCTATGCCTTTTATGAAGGTTGATTATTGATACCAATCTAAGTCGTTTTAGATTTGTTATTAGACTTGTCAGGGGTATTTTGCTGAGTTTGATGAAGTTGGCAGGCCTGTCCTTTCTGGACTTTAAGTGCTAAAGCATCTGTAATGCACTCAGTGTGCTCCTAGGAATTTTTTTTACCCTAGGATCAGAGGTGAGGAAAATCTTTGCTTGAAATGAGAGTAGAACAAAGTCCTGTGGCCTTTCCTTTGAGCTAGTGAACATCTATTGTGCTTGCATTAAAATGATTTTGAAGGCGGCTGCTGTATATTCTTGTAATATTCTATAAAAATTTGTGAAACAAACGTGATTTTGTTTTTCATAATAAAAGAGAGGGGAACTTTAAAATACCACTGAATTTTGTGAGTTTATGAGATAGAGTTTAAATAACTGAATGTTTTTATGAAGAAGTGTCACAGCTGTTGCAAAACTGTTGATTTTTTTTCTGTTCAGGCTCTAAAACCAGCAACCCAAGTCTTGATATGGTTCCCCTCAGTCAAGGTTTGCCTACCCCCGCTCAGAGAGAAAGGTCTGCCAGTGAGCAGCCAGAGGAGTCCGCTCCAAGAGGCAAGTTGTAAAAGAGTTTATGTGCCACATACTAATATGTTTATCCACATTCTAACACACATATTAGGATTTTATGTCGTCAGATAATGGACAATAGTAACCGGTAAAAAATAGTGCTGAAAGTGAGACTAGCTACATTTTGTTATTAAATAATACTTTGAAACAGTTTGTGAACATTCGGGGTAGGGGGTGTTACTTTCATTAGGTTTAAGTTGTGGTGAGACTATTTGTCTTAGTAGACTTGGTCCACCTGAAAAATAAAAATTCTCTGACCAAAAGCACAACCCCAGGAACCAAATCTGGAATTTGAGGAAAGAGTGAGGAATGCATAAGTTTTGGCTGCCGTTTTGAAATTATTTTTCACTCCAAGCTGGATTTCTGCCTATTTTTGCTAGATTGTCTGAAACTGCCATCTATGCCAGTGACTGAATGGTTTTAATTTAACCCTTCTCTTCGTAGTAAGGCTTAGTGCATCAGACACATCATTTTCGTTTTCATGTTGACCAGAAGGGTTAAGCTTCTTAGTCTCCTTTGTAAGACTTCTTAGAAGCATTGTGCGTTGTGATGAACTTCATTCTTTGCTTCAAGCATGTCTTTTGGATAGAACTTTTAGTGTTTCGGGAATCTTTTCCTGTAACAGATCAGGCCTAGAAGCAATAGAATAAGTAGATCAAAATCTTTCAGTATTGATTATTACCATCATCATATCTTACTAGTTAGTCTACATTGACCATTTTTGGTTTGGCATTCCATTGTGACTTCTGATAGTTCACCTTCAAGCTTGTCGTATTTACTACTGACAATTTTGTTACAGAGAAAAAAATGGAAAGTCCAGAACTGCCAGCAGCAGAAGAGGGTGGAGCTACTGTCAAAGACGGTGTGAAACGTTTGAGTTCTGGTTCAAACACTGGCCAGGATTTGTTCAGCACCCCAAACCAATCCATCATTGACCGGGCAGACAGCCAGCTTGGTAAGACAGTGTCCAGTTCTCACAGCACCCCTGGCTCGCACCCTCACTTCAGTCCAACAACACACCGGATCATAGAGGGTCTGCCTTCAGAGGTCAGCGAGGAGGTTAATACCTCAGTGGCTGCGAATGTTGTGGCCCAGTTTGTCCGTCAGCCAGAGATGGTGGTCACCGCGTCCAGTCCAGCCGCTCCAAAGATAGGAAAACCTGGCGAGACGCCTGGTCAAGGGTTTGGACCACGAGCCTCCAGCAGAGGTCTACTGCAGTCTGACTCGGAGGGAGAAGAGGATGCTGGAAAGAAGACTCCGAGCAAGGCTGGGAGGAAGAGGAAACAAAAAGACACGGACACAGAAAGTGCTGCGAAGCGCAAGGGAGTAGGGAAGTCTGGGATGTTGAAAAGAAAGGAGGACCCAGGAGAGTCAACAGATAATCAGAGCACGGGATTCAGCGTCCACACCGTTCCCCCATCAGTGGCCAGTGGTGAGTCCAGTCACACTTCAGGATGTCCCCCAGGTGAGAATGTGGTGCTGCTTGCTAGATGGTAATACAGTGGTTTCCACACAAAAGCATGATCCTCCTTAAAGCGTGCTGTCAGCACAGAAACAAATTTTTACTGTATAATTATCATGCATAAGTGCATATTCCAAATGGACAACTGCGTCTAATAGCTTGGTCATTCCTGCTCTAGTATCAGAAATAAATCAGCCATAACATGGCTCCTTTCGCTTAGAACTGATGAAAGTGAAGTAAACACCTAATACTTTATTGGAGGTGCAGCTTTGCCAAAGAGAAAAAAGACATAGGGACATGGTGTGAGACAGAATTGCACAATGAGGAAAGTCAGTGGGCGAGAGAGCTGTGCCGCTATTATGACATTCGTTGCCTGTGATGGCTCAGTGATAGAAAATTTTCTGCACTAAGCGATCACAGACACCTCAGGGTGAGCTCAGCTTAATGACAGAACCTGCTACAGGAGATCAGGTACGAGGTGGTTCTCATAAATCAATGATGTACGGCACAGTGGGCGACAGAAATAGGTATTGGTATCTAGTTAAGAGCAGAGTAAACAATGGTTTACTTTGCCATATCGGAGATGGACATTAAATGTGGTGAACTTATTAAGTAACCATACTCTTGTTGATAAGGCAATGTGTTTAATTAATTCCTATCATGAATCATACATACCATACCACAGAAGTTTTTCACATGCCCTGCCTTCATGCTATTGGCCCATTCATGTTGTTACTGTTTGCACACTCAAAATCTGCTTGAATATGTGCATTGAGTTTGTAGTTCTTAGGAACGATTTTTTAATGTCTCCAATAACAAACTTTACAACTCCTATGGGGTAACTGCTTGTCTGAGAAGACTACCCGTCCAAGGAATACAGGATGGTCGCTTTATACAACCGTACAACTTTGCTGGTTGGTTTTGTATCCTCGTTCATCTCTCTATCTCCACAGAACTGTTTGTGAATAATTTAAGATAGATTGTAACTGTTCATTTGTCATATTTCCACAGCAATTTCATTAGCCAAACCAGGTGTAGGTGTCAGGTAAGTTCCTTTATATTCTCTATCACTGGAAATAGACAACTGGATTGTGAATGAGCAGACATAGTAAAAAAATTTATAGATATTGTGCATGTGTGTCATTAAATGCCAGAGAATTTTAAGGGGAATTGTGTAACCCTTAAAGTTTCATGAGTTCAGTGAAAAAAGCGTTTTTAAAATTATTCTACAGTAGGATTTATCTTCCTAGGAATTTCAATGTTATTTTCCCCACAACAGTTTTACCTGGACAGTTTGTTTATGATACTCATTCTGTGACAAATTCCCTCGGGCCTTTAGTGTCAAATGCTTATAATGCATGTAAACATGCATTCTTTCCCAATGTTTTCGTTATTTGATAAATTCTTATGATGATTCTACATTCACCTATTACAAGTGTTGTCTTATTATGCATCACACACATTAATTGTCTTATTATGAATGGACTTCCATGATGAGAAAATAATTCCGTGCATGCGACATGTTCTATAAAGGTAATGTTTGTTTCTATAATGCATATTATTCAGTGTTTTCTTTGCAATAACTTGTTTTCAGCTCTGTCACTCAGTCAGAAGCAAAACAGTTTGGAGATGCATCAAAACATTTGGTCTTGACCAGCTATAAAAGTAAAGTAGAACCAGGTGAGTTTGTAACATTAGTCATTAGGACATTAGTAAACAGGAAATTTGATAGAAAGGGGCCTTACTTTTTGGAGACTGTAAAGAATTCAGTTGCTACACCATGTTCTTTCTGCCACTTGTAAATCAAACTTTCAATCTTTCTTTATCACCTTCTTCTCTCCAGCGTGCAGCCTCCTACCCACACCCCACCCCCACCCTTCCCAAGTGAAAATCACATCTCTTTGCCTGCCTCAAAATAAATGATCCATCACTCGGTTTTGTCAAGTGAAGGCAGGAAGAAAACTATACTCAGATGTGGATTCATGTGATGCAAGTTGTGAAATGGTGGTTGGCTTGTGTTTCCAAGTTATGCTTTGACTTTGATAAAAATTTGTTGTTTTTGTTGTAGGTGCTCAAATAATGGGCAAGTGGCAAGATGGCTTCTACTACCCTGGTGTGCTAGCGAGACTGGAACCTTCTGGCAAAAAGTTTGTAGTAAAAAAATTTAAATTTTGTTTCACTAGTTTTGACTGATACCTTTTCCTTTTTAACCCTTTCATTGCCAGGGGGTATACGTTCCCACTGTCAGCACTGGTTTTCAGCTGAGCTCGTTACCCAGAACAGCAGCCTAATGTCTCAGTGTTAATGGACGCACCGTCTTGATCTAGCGCACTTGTGACATACTTCGGACACCGGGTCTTCGATTTTTTCACTTTTCTCACTTTTCTTATTCCCCCATTTCCTCCCATCTTACTCGTAATTTCGAATAACCTGCAAATCCAAGTCAAACAGTGAATTTTTTGCCTTTTTAAAGTCATTTCTATGTTTATGTTTTACGAGAGCCCGCGGCCGCCCGCAAGCCTAGATCTGTGTTTATCGATCGCTTGAAAGCCTAGCAGTAAAGAAATACTAACAAATTTGGTACCGATATGCGCATCTTTTATTTCAAAATACGAATCTAGGCAGCGCTTGTGGCTAAAACTCCGTACAGAAGAATGAGAGCCAGGTTATTAGCATGACGTACATGTAACAGTATATAGGCACTCAGGAGTGGCAAATTTTGCCAACTTCCTTGACGTCCATGGTATGGCACAGCGTAAAAAAAAAATTCCGCGTTTTCATGATGTATCAGGTACGTCATAAGGCAACGAAGGGATTAAGGTTACATTGTATCTGTCCCCGTGGTTTTATGCACCCCGCATAATTCAGCAAAATGTGATCATTTTTTGCAAAATTTCTGATTATTTTCCTTTATCATTCTTTGTTAAAATTAAAACAATTGCTTAATTTCACATTTTTGGGCCCAGTTTGCATAATTTCATAATTTTTCTGGCATAAAACGACGGGGACAGAATTGTATTCATCGGTCTGTATCAGTTCTCATGGCTCCTAACTTCTGTAAGGCAGGTTTATTGTTATTGCTGAAATGAATAATATGCAGAAAAGAAAAGGTGGGTTTTTTTGTTTGAATTAGGAGTCTAACCCCATTCATAATTGTAGTAGATTGGGATTTCTTTGTTCACCAGTTACATTATTTGACAATTTGTGGGGTCCAACAGTTGAGACTAGAGATCTATGTGATTTTATTTGAATTGGTGCATTGTTTTGCTTTTTGGTGTTTATTTCAAGCTTTTAAGTTTTCTTTTCAGTCTGTTAAATGGAACAATTCATTTTATTGTTTATTGTAGTCACATGAGATTGTCATTGACATTCTTGAATAAATTGGTACATGCAATCAAGCACTTTTAGTGTGAATTTTAGTTACCTTGTAATCTTGTGTATTTTTGTTTTCACCAGTGAATGTTGGGACCTGGAATTCTGAATCTGCCATTTTTCATTCCTCCTGCAATCTCTGTTTCCTTGTATAATCTTTCTGTCAGTGCCATTGGTGTATTGTTCTTTTTTTTCTTTTTCTTTTTTTCTCCAGACTGTTAAAGCATGTGTTGGTTTAGACCTAGGTAACCAACATCTGTGGTGGAATGATTCGACCTTTGCGTTATTTTCAAGAGATGTGGGGCAGAGAGATGTTTTATTGAGTGTCTCTGTACTGTTGCAGTGTACTATCCCTCTCAGCTCAGGCTGGCCCCCGCAGACAGGGTTGAAGCACCGCACCTGCTCAATGGCTAGATTGTGTCGCTTGAGTTGTCATATCAGACAGTAATGATCACTTTTATAAAGAAGTTTGTTTACTTGAACTCAGTATTAGCATCTAGGAGGTTAGTTATTCATGACTGTGTAAATAATGCAAAAATCCTGGGTGTAGATTCTTTTTCAAGTTTGATCACTGTTCTTTAAAGGTCTGTCAAGCATCAAGTTATTTTGTAATGTGTTTATTTTTATTTCAGATTCCTGGTCAAGTTTGATGATGGTTCTCAGAAGTCTGTGAAGCCTCATGAGATAATCTTAGCCCAAGACCTGCCCGTGGGTCAGAGCGTGATGGTTCTGCGCAGCGACGGCTTCTACGAGTGTGGCATGATCATGCAGCATAGCGAAGCAAGCGGGGTGGAGCAGGGAGTCTTGTACCACGTGGAGAGGGACGATGGGGTCACCCAGAGGTCAGTGAAGAGTCAACTGTTCTCTGTTTGTATGGGAGCTTTGTTATGTTGAATGGGTTGAGTGCTCCACTCAAAACTAAAGGGAAACCTGCAGATTGACGTCCTGGGCCATGTAGGTGTAGATTCATGAAGACTCTCAAAGCAACTAAAGTTCAAGGACACCTTTGAAGGGTTTCTGACCAAGGTCATCTGCATTGCTATCCAGCGTGGTACCACCTGAACTAACAGTACAGTGTGCCCGTAGCGACTTTATTGACTCAGTGATTAAGTTCTAGGAGCTGAGGTTTCTGTGTCAGGGGTTCAACTCTGGGCTGAGTTTGTTTGCATATAAGGCTCACTGGTGATAGAATATACTAGAGCCTCAAACTTGTGAATACATTGTGAAATGTGTAAGGCTTGTTTTAGAGTTGAGATAAGTGCTACTTACTTAACCATTTTTGTTTATTTTTATTATTACACGTAGTTTCAACACCCTGATTTTCATGTTATGTTACTGACTCTGCATCTTCTGTTTTAGTTTAATTTAGTTAGCGTTTTACTGCGCTCACAAGTACATAAGGTCGTATAGTGTGCGAAACACAAGTTGGTTGCATTCTCAACAATTCATAGCATGGCTTGGTTTGGTCAGTGATCAGGTTAGTTGGTTTTAATTTTTATGGTAAAAATGTCATCGTAAATATGCATCTCCATTCTCTTTCCAGTGCCTGTAAATCTTGCTACATCTTTCTCTTACTTCAAACTTGCTTACGTTCCCCATATATTGCTGCAACTCCAGGTGCAAGAGGTCAAGCCTTATACTGACTGAGGACCAGGCGGCCATTCTGCTAAGTGATGAAGAACTCCGTGTCACTCCCGATGCTGTCGCACACAACATGGGCAAAGTTGGAGACATTTCTCTCGGTTAGTTATAGTTGTGTACTCTTTTGAACTCTCAACATTGATAAAGGTGATGTATGAGGAATGTCGAGACATGTCTCTTAATTCATTGAAAATCTAGGCTCCGATTCCTCTTTTGAGCCCTAGGACACAGCTTTTAATATTTTGAATAAATTTTTTTTAAAACCATGTATAGAAGCCCCAAATAAAGATATGGCAAGGGGCTAATATACTGTTTCAAATTTTGTACTCTTTTATCATCTATATTAAAGGGAATTTTAAAAAAAGAAACTATACATACTTCAAGGAATATTTTTCTATTAGTTTATGAGGTTGTCTGAAGATATGCTTTTTGCCTTTTCTTTTCTTTCTTTTTTTTTGTGCTCTACTGAACTTACTTCTGAATACATTTTGTAGGCTGACAGAATTATAAAACTGATTTCACATTTCAGTTTCCATGTTTCTTTACTCCTATCAGCAAGCACGACATGCTCCGTGTCGTTTCCATTTACCCCCATCTGCCCGAACGACACAAAGCATGTCGTTTTAATTTCCTTTAATTTAATACACATTTCCATCCAGTCCTCCGAATCCATGTGTTATAATACTGGTCAAGTTAAAAATAGACATGATGTTACTTCGTTTCTTTATGAAAATTCGCAATGTGAAGACTTATTTTTTGGAATGGTAACGCGTTGTAACAACGACAATTTTAGATCTAAAGTTTAAATCATGTTCCCACTCAGGATTGTTACTGATGAAATCCCTCTACAATACACCTCTTTTTTCTGCATCTAATTTTACTTTCCATGTTTTCTTCATGTTGCCGATTGATAATATTTTGGTATGGTGAACGAGAATGATCTAAATTCATAATTGTTTGCGATATATAAATTTACTCGAATTCTGAATGACAGAACAGATTTAATTGTGACTGTTCATGAAAATCCATAAAATCATTTTTGGTTAATGAGAGTTAAAGAGGTATATATATTTGATAGAAATGGCAAAATTTTGTTTATACAAATCTACCCCATTCATTTGCTTGCTGCCATAGTTTTTTCTTAAATTGAGAAATACTAGTCAGAAATGAGTGGTGGTGTGCTATTGAATCTGCTAGTCATGTGTTCGGGTACCATCTCAGTGAGTACTATAACAAGTGGGGGAACAATTACAGGGATTGTTTATTTGTTGAACTGAAACAGAGCAACTTTCTCTTTCTCTGCCAATCGTTTTCAGCAACTTGTATTGATGCTGGTCTACCACTGCATCTAGGTGGCATCATGGACTTGTGATTCTTTTTTGTAACTGCTGTGGTTCTTTTTTGTAACTGCCTAAAAGCTGAAATTTTACTGTTGTTGTCAAGAATTAAAGATGACCAAAAGAAAATATTCTGTTTTGCATATTAAGCTTTTCTCTGGATGTGTTTTTCCTTGCACTAATGAATATTATTACATTGCTCACAAACTGCAAATAAACAATTGCAAAGGTAAACTTTTTACATGGCAGTATTGAAGAATGGACTTTCATTAAATTAAATTGATTATTTGCTATTTAAAGAGTGTGGGTCCATTTCACCTTTGTTGGCCTGTCTTTACAGATAATTTGGTAGAAGGAAAGAGGCATCCCAGAGCAAAGAAAAGTAACACAGCCGTTGAAGCTCAGTCATCAACATCAGGAGTTCAAGCTGTACCAGCTACATCTACGGCTCTCGCTCCTTCAGCTGCTGAACTTACACGCAGTGGTCGCAAACGCAAACTGGGCCCTGTGGCTACAAGTACCCCTACGCCGAAGCAAGCTGCTAAAGAAGGCAAAGAGAAAGGTTGAGCTTCAATCATTTCAATGATTGTTCTTATTTTGTTTTTTTTTGTTTGCTGTGTGGTTGTTGAGTACAAAATGTCCAACAATGTAAATATGATTGTGTTATTGTGTGTGTATGTTTGTACATAGTGTGGCTGGGTGCATAAATACGGTTATGTATAGTTATTTACATGAAGGCACATCTTGCTTCCTGTTTATCTAACCTTCTAACAAAATATTCTGGGTTGAGCAACTGGTGTAATTTTGGTATCATCCTGTGCTTATGCTTTAGCTCAATATCCCCCACTGCACAAGATTTTTGTAAATGGTGCCCAATACTTATGTATCCTGCTTCTCTCTTTTATGTTAATCCTAGTCACTTGAGAGTAACTAAACATTATCCAAACAATTTTAACAGATGTCACTTGTTTTCCAGGTACTCCAGTGAAACGGCCAATACCTAGTCCGCTTGGAGGTGTCATGGCATCACCCTCAGACTCTCGGCGATCACCAAGAAAGGCAAGGCTAGGTGAGGGACCGTCAAAGATCTTCTGTAATTTTTATAACTTTACTTTATGTTAGTGTTAGTGCTAAATGTTAAGCTCTGATGCAAAGGTTTCCTTCCTTATTTGTGCTTCAATATCGTGTAGTCCTCTGCATTGCAATTCAGAAAAGTTACATCTGTGAGTAAAACACATCCATATATGTGATGTAATTGTGGAAAGAATTAAGACTTAGGAATCAGTCAGCAGAGTTATTTAGTATTCTTTGGGAGACTTAACTTTCTTTATTGATCTATTTGCACCTCTCTCTCTCTCTCTCTCTCTCTCTCTCTCTCTCTCTCTCTCTCTCTCTCCCTCTCTCCTTCCCTCCCTCCCTCTCTCCGTCCCTCCCTCCCTCTCTGTTTATGTCTCTTGTTGATTGTACAGCAAAGATGCCAACCAGTACGATTTTACGTATTTTAGTAAGATTTTTTGCCGAAAATACGTGATTACGACTTTTCATGAAAAAATACGCATCCTGGAATGCGAAAAAGAAATACGAGATTCAGCTTGGGCGAGTAAACCTAGATCTAATTATCTCAAGTCCAAGTCCCATCTTTTGCCAAAATAGTTTCAGTATCGCGGAACTGGAATACATGTAGGCCTATTTGAAAACCAAGGTCAGTTACTTCATTTTTGCCGGTCGCGATTGTGATATTATGTTCGCACACCATTTCCCCGTCCGAGAGTACGTTTCACGCGAAAAGGCGGCTATGGCGGCAGGCGGAAGTGTATGTGACACCAATGCGCGATCAAAAAAATGAAGGCCTACTTTCGCTTTCGTTACCACCAAGAAGTTTGCCAGCGGTAGTCTGATATACAACAATTGTGACATACAGGTTGTGCAGTGTAAACGCTGTGTTGCCGTGCAAATGAAATTAAATCAACACTCGGACTCGTCTCTGTGCTGTCACGTGTGGGAAAGAAAGAAAAGAAAATACAAGCGTCATCCGATTTTTAGATTGTCTGGCTCGCCATCGTGACCGGTCAATGAACCTGCGCGCATTCGCATCATAAATAAATGCGACATCCTGTGAGCAAAGACCGTCTTTAGTGAGAGTACCTGCTTTGCGAAGTATAGGACTATGGAATAGGGGAGGAGATTATTTATTGATTTTTTTTTTAAGATACTCGGGGGGGGGGGGGGCGAAGGCAACACCAGAGGACAAAAACTTGTCACCAAATTTCAGAATTTTGATTAGAGCTTTCTGCAAAGCGCGCGTTGGTGCAGGCCGTGTGCAGAATCGGGACCGTTCTTTCTTTGCAAGTCTGTGTTATTGAAATAAAGTGTTCGCATTTCATTGGAGGGTGATCGTAAATTATACCTACAGTGTATGTTGTAGCTTTCGGTTCAAGACTGGCAGATTTTCAGTGTCACTGCATCTTGCCCTCTCACAGTTGTTACACAACTCTCACAGTACATGGGTCTACTTTTGCCGTTCAAGTTATTGCTCTTCTTTGAGTTTGAGCAATAATTTTTGTCTGTCAGTTCATAATATTAATATGAATCATGATTCCCAGACTGGTTCTTGATAGTCGAAATTCTTGTTCTAGGCTCTTCCGAACGCTCAAAGCAGGATCAATTTTTTATATATAATAATGAGGGGGAAATATTGTAATAGTAAATAGACTGAAATACTTAAGTCAAACAAGACCCCAGTACGACACTGAACACTGACATGTTGTTGACTGGATACATGTATAAATTGTAGTCTACGCGTGTGTGCTCCCTTTTTTCGAGCTGATGGGTTTTAACAATTTTTTCAGGAAATATTGCTGGACTCCCTGAACATTTTACGAGTTGGTAGGTTGTTGGGAATACACATTTCCCCCTGAAAATACACATTTTCATATTTCCCAGTACTCATTTCGGTTTTCTGTGGTTGGCGTCTCTGGTACAGTCTATGCAGACTTTATGATTCAGCTCTTTGAATCTATCATGTGTTATAGTTTCTCTTTTCACTGTTTATGCATGTTCCAGGTTTATTTGAGTCTAGCCTACCACAGAAATCTAAGCTGTTTGAGGGTATGGTGTTTATGCTGACTCACATAGACAAGTCGGTGGAACAGAGAGCTCAGGAGAAAAGATTGCTTCAAGACTCCTCACTTGACACCTCGGCAGATGACAACACAGACACTGGTAGGCTACCTTTTTATGTTCTGAATTTTTTTTAAACTAATTTTAAAGCGACGGGGGGGGGGGGGGGGGGGTTCATTATGGTCGTTTATCTAGCAGCTTTTGTATTGCAGTATGCCTTACAGTATAGTCTGCGGGTGGGAGGAGGAAGTTATGTTCTTCATTATTGAATAGGGTATTTGATAAAGTTATTGTGTTCATTTAAAGTTCAGGAAAAATGCTTTTTGGTTTGACCTTTGTTATCATGTTTCCCTTTTATTTTCAAATAGGAGAACAGTAAAAAAAATACTCGAAATAGTTTTTAACATTTTACTCAGAGTACATAAGTCTTCGCGTATAAGGCTTTTGTACTCATTATACAAACCCCTCGTGTGCTTGGTGCTCAGTCATTCCCTGGCGAAGGACTTCTTGTGTGTGACAGGCTTCTTTTAAAATTTTTCCCTCTGCCATTACAATGTATTAAGTACTTTACAATTAATAAATTTAGAATGTGCTAGTTAGATGATTTTTCTAAGCAGTGTTTTATTGTCTTTCAGAACCAGACATGCCTCCATTTGTGAAAGATCGTGTCAAGTCAGTCATAGAATTGGGCGGTGGCATCGTGATTAAATCATACGATGAAAAAGTGGTAAGATTTTTTTAAAGGTTTTTGGATCATTGTTTTTTCATTAAGATTTTTAGGTTTTATGCTCTCTGGCTTTGTTCTTTTGAACGTGGTGTGTCAGTTGAAGGTGGTGTGAGCCCATTCAAAGTTATTTTTGTACTGCACGGGAATTTCTTGTACATGAGAAATTTGTTTCTAGATGATCTGCTGGATGGTGAAAAAGGTCTTCTGCAACCATCTCTGTCTCTGATTGGCCATGACAGTCCGTGGTCAATTTTTCTGTGTTTGCCTAGCAAACAGATAATAATTCTTTTGCTAGAAAAGTAACTTGTCATGGCCAGAAGTATAATGGATAGCCTCTTCACTTTACACATAAAAGACATGGATTTATTTTTTGCATGAGGAAAACTATTGATCAAGTATTCCATTCTATCAAGATTGGCCATGGCAGGTAAGGTCGAAGCAACCAACCTTCTACCTATCAAAATTTGTGTAAGTTGGGGTATAAAGATAAAATACGTGCTACTTGTGGATAGCTGCTTGTATACATGTCTTTTGTGGTGTTGCCAGTCTAACCTCTTTAATTAATGCCTTTTCAGTTACAGTCAGCTCGCAAATCTTATTTGGTTGCTGCAGAGCACCAGAGGACTATCAAGTACCTGCAGGCTCTTGCCGCTGAGATGACAGTAATTTCTCATCAGTGGGTCTTGGAATCTGCAGCACAGGTAATTGAGTCCAAACATAAAGTCCTTGTTGCGTAATTTATATTTCCACGTAGTTGATTGTACTCTGGATTTTTCAACTAAATGGTAGCTTACTTTGCAGAGTTTATGGAATGTGCAGTAGCTATTGCCCCCAGTATAGGCAATGCTGTTCTGTCACATTAGGCTGTAGTATTTATGCTGTTTTGGTCTTTAACTTGTGTCCCATGATGATGGTGTGTGTGACTAGTGACCAGTTTTGCCCATATATACATTAAAATGATTTGATGCTCTGCACTCTGAAGCCTCCTTTGTAGTTAGTAGCTTATAGCACCTAACATATGTTGGCAAAGTCAGTTTTGAGCTAAAGGCTAACAAAGGTGTAAAGTGAACACAAGTAAAAAATGTAGGTTCACCAGAAAAATCAAAGTTTAACTATTCCCAAATCATATTGTGAAAGGAATTCACTCATCTTTAATTGCCAGTTGTATAAAGGTTAGTTTATTTAAGAGGTGTATAGTATGTTAATCTGAAGGGAAAAAAACTGGCTCAAATAGACTTGTTTTTGGGTCAACATTTGACACATAGTGGTTGGTTTTATTTCTACACAAACCCTATCAAGTTCATATGAACATTTTAAGCATTGTATACCCTATACCATAAATTTTTGTGTTCTTCAATGCAGTTGTTTACTTTCCAATTGTACTACTTAGGCATATCCAGGTCAGCATCAAGTTTGATCTAATATCCAACTTATTCACATCAGTTTCGATTTTCTATATATTTACATAACTTTAATGCTGTAAGGTACATTTATTGGGGTTCTTTTACAGACATTTATTGTAGGCCTACCGTTCATAAAGTACAGCAATAAAAGTAAATTGAGAGGGAATGACAGATGTCGTTATCTTTTTTTAGAAAAATAAAATCATTTAATTTTCAAGCTGTTTTTCTCAAAACTAATTTTTGCATCTCGTCTGATAAAACGTGCAATATCTAAAAAAAAAAAAAAAAATTAAAAATATGTGACTTTTTTTTTTATCCCTTTGATTCAGAATTCAAAAACCTATGAAACTACCTCTTTCTCAGTTTTGAAAATTGACCCTTTTGTTGGGTACACACATACACTTGTCTTGTTAAAACAGCACTGTTTAAGAAGAGACAGGAAAAGGGAATCAGAAGAATGGTGCATGTTCTAATTGTATAATTCTATTTCTAAGATGTATAAAATTCAAGTTTTTAAGTTATGAATTTACTCTTCAATTTCAACTGGATCTGTATAACTCCTACCAATCAATCAGTTGATCAAAGAATGCAATCTCAGAATTATTTTTTTCATGGATTTTTATATTTTATAAGTTTCAAAATCCTTTTCCTACCTAGAAGGCACCTCTAGTGAATGGGGCTACTTTTAGTCATGTTTAACTGAACCTATAAGACAAATGCATACCTGAGTCAAATTTGTGGAGTTGGGTTTTTTTTCTTTTGAGTTTCAGATTTGAAATATGCTGTACATAGTAGCCTCACTGCATATGCTTAAGAGTCTTACGTTTCAGACAGATACAATCATCTGTACTTGTTTTTCTCTGATCTTACAGAATAGTCTTCAAGCTCTAACAGCTTACATTTTGCCAGCTGGAATAAGTGTGGAAAAGAAAAAATTGATAGAACGGTAAGTGCACTCTCAAAAAAGGCATGTCTGAAACTCTGTAAATTGTCAGTGTGTACCAGCCCATAGGACAGCTTGAGGGGAACTTCTGTCAACTACAGAACAAAAGTACTTACACCATTCATTACCATTATCTCACCCTCATATCTTTGACATCATATCTTCAGCAGTAACAGCCTAAGCATCATCCTGACATCGTAGTTTTTACGAGGGCGCTGCAACCGCGGCTCGGCTGCGGAATTTTGATTTTCTGCAGAATTTTGAAAAATTTTGCAGCAGCATTATTATGCTTTCAGACGTAGAATTGCGAGGGGAAAAAATAGACTGAAGCGAGCTGACGACATTACAGTGATCTCCCTCGCACCGCAAGCCCGAAATTAGAGTGATCTTTTTTTTTTTTTGAAACAAAATTGATCTAGATCTAGATTCTTGTTTGTTTTAGTAAGATTTACGGAATTCGCAACTGCATAGGTCATATGAGCGCCAAAGGGCGGATGTCAACAGAAAGGTATAAACGGAGAATCAGGCTTACTCTGCTCACCTCTTTAGCCTCAACAGTGCAAAGTCTGCTTCGACTATCAAGGCACCCTGGAAATAGCAGTTCACAAGAGAGTGACAAACATATAAAAGAAGTAGAGAAAAAATGACGATAGTAAGGATGAGGAAAGAAAAAGCAGCAGTTCCCCCTATTCCCTATGTAATTCCGGCACAGTATGAGCATGACATTGATAAATCAGCCCATTTACAATTCTACTGGAAAAAAAATGTTAATATCCACCCTTTGGGACTGGCCTAAAAACACTTCAGTCAGTAGCACTGCCTTCTTTCTCTAGATTCTCTTGTGTATGCGCTAGTAGCGTAGCGGCTATTGTATAGGAGTACAGGCGAGACGGGGTTTGTCTTTCAGCAAAAATGGATAATTTTTTAAAGGAAAGAATGCGTCGAAAACAAATGGCGCTGAACGTCAGCTTCAGTATGTTACATTGTGTTTGGCAGAAAACTATTCTGTTGGTACGTTTGTAATGTGGTACTTGACCACACCCATAAATCGACAGTGGATGGGCATTTCTGTGTTTATGCCATCTTCACCCGCGGCTTTTCCTTCCGGAGTGTTTCTAACTCTAATTACGAGCTCTACTTCTGTCTTTAGAATGTTGGGACCATTGTTGTTGCTTGGCTGTGGCAGGGGGTGGTCTTTTATCTTCAAATAATTCTCCTAACATATTCTGCCCATCTTCTAGGACTTCTTTTTTTCTCAAACAACATAACTGTCTTTTTTTGTGTTCAACCCCTCCTGACAATCAATGACATAGCTCAAACTGCCAGCTGTCCTGATTTTGGAAGTTACCGGTGTACAATGGTGTCTAATTTCTTTGGGTCACACGTTTGTTAGTATTTAATGTTATGAGCTTGTGTTTCTGATAAAAAATACAGATTGTATTCTGCTAATAACTGGGTTTCTAATTTTATTTACTGTGTCTGTAGTGCTACTTCTCAGCTTATGATTAATTGGTACTTATATTTTTTAAGCAGTATGGAATTTGAAGTTTAGACATGCTCGCAATCCTTGTAGAATTTTTGCAGAATTTGGTCATTTTGGGGGTAAAATTCTGCGCAGAATTTTGAAATTTTCCATGCAGAAAACTACGGTGTCAGATCATCATCAACCTCAACATGTTCCCCATCTTTAAACCGTAACCGCAAACCTTTTCTATTTCTCTCAGACTCTGCATTATGCATGTAAAAAGGTGGAAAATTCAGAACTTGTAAGGGGTGGTGGGGAATAGGCATATTTAGGCAGAAGAGACAAGCTATTGGCTGCTGAGTAAGTATAACAATATAATAGGATTTGGTCAATGGCACATAAGAAGAGTTATATTTGGCATTTTATATAGATTGTATATGTACTAGTACGAGTAACTGTTATAAAGTAATTTGGTATGTCTGCCATGGCCTGACCTATTTTTCAGTTTCCTTGCATTGTTTACCTTTGTTTTGACCTTTGACATTTTTAGAGATGTTTCAAGTATGAATACATGGTTTCATTGTAGATTTGCTCTGTAGCAGTTGATAATTTGTTGATAAAGATAATTCGTTTCAGATACAATTGTGTGTATTTTTTCAGTTCGAAAGGATGTAGTCAGCTGATAGGACTTACACCTATGGTTGTCTCTACCAACGAGGAGTTTGTGGAAGCTTGGACATCTATTCTCACCATCGCTAGATGCCACGTTGTCACTCGGTTTCCCGCCCGTGCTAACAGAAGTAAGTGAATGGTATAGGTTTAGCTCTTGGAGAAGTGTGCTCCAATTCTTAATTTGTGCCGGAGGACATAGTATTTTGAGAGGTTTTCACCAATTCTGTGGAGGCTCCAAGTACAGAAGGAAGTACACGAGTTTTTGATTTACCTTCCTCATGATCCAAATAAACGAACACCAAAAAACGATCACTCTATAGATTATTACTATTTATCCATTGGGATCTACAATTGAAACAAGTTTTTAATTATTTTACCCTACCAGAACACATACACTGAAATCATTTCTGAATACAGCTTTAAAAAAATAGAGAGAAAAAAAAAAATTTCAATGTCTGCATAGTGTAAATTAAAAGTTTGGGGGTTTAGAAATGGCTAAAATGTAATACACTCTTACCCCCTTTAATTTCCTTTTGGCCATCATTGAAAAAAGATTCTACTTGTGCCAGTCGTTGCCTGACGTGGAGCGTACCATTATGAAGGCTGCCTGCCATATGTAGCTGGTATGGTCTTAATAAGTTAACCTTTTGAACCCTTAGCTCCTGGGTTTAAAATAGATTATACTCTTGATTTATTTTTTAGGTCTATTGGTTCACTCAGCTGTGATGTTTAGACAAATTTTTGTAGGACCTTGGATCATGGTAGTGTTTTTCTTTTCTGGGCCTCAGGTTGAATTCTTCATTCACAGTGGTTCTAGGTTTGTATTCAGCAAACCAACCAGTATCAAACTTATGAGGTTATTTCAGTTTCCTGTCATCAGCTGGTGTCAAGCGAATGTCAGTCCACTGCCGCTTACATTGTCATTTTCAGTGTTTCTACTGCTGAACATATCATCCTCCTCACTTATCATTTCATTGTCATTTTACTCATTATTTTCTTTGTTCAATTCTTCCACTGAATCGGTGTCAGATAGCTGAAGAAGTACCTGATCAGTTATAGGATTAGGTCTACACCTTGCTGAACAGACAGCTATGTCATCTGATTGTTTTATGTTTCCACAAACACAACAAATAACGCAGAAAAAATCAAGCGCCTTTGTTGTCAAATGACAATGTACGTTGTGAATGACGATATCATTTAAAAAAATAAAGTAGAGTCAAGGCCATCTGCTTTTTCACATCCCGCTTCTATTTCTGTAAACACTCATCAGATTTAGGTGGGTGTGTCATACCGATATTTCGGTATCCCAGAGTATCTGCCATGTTGTGGTCATACTGATATTTTGGTACAAAGGGCTCAAAGGGTTAGTACTTCTCTGAGAATTGTAACGTTCAAGGGGCGCACACGTGCACAGTGTCTTTCTAGTTTGATAACTGAACTATTTCTCTTGTTGTGTTTCAGACGACCCAGGAGTAGATGTGGTGGTGTCAGACGCTACTTGTCCAGCGAGTGTCGTGCGTCGATGTCGGCAGCTGGATGTTCCTCTTGTGTCTTCAGAATGGGTGGCACAGTGTCTTATCAACGGTAATATGGTTGACTTTGCCGGCCATGAAAGATACAAATACGATTTCATCGAATAAACATTACATAAATGCATGTGGTATAGATACTTACATTTAGTTCATACTAGAGCTGCGACATATGTCTGAAAATGTTGAGTTGGTAGCATGAAACTGCCAGCTGTTGTTATTATTGTTATAGCCCTGTGAACTAAAGTGACTATGGCATTTGATAAAAGGAGTAAAAGATCCCTTTTAATTCGTAAAAATATATTCCAATGCATTTCTACGGTATTGTTTAATTTATTTAGAAGTGATCAGGAAAGTATTTTATAGATTATATGAAAAGTAATAGGATTGTTTTCACTTTTTAAAATGTGAAATAATACCTGTTTGTTTTGTTTATTATTTTTAGAGTGAGGAACAATGAAATTTCTTTCTATGATGTGTTCTAGATGCAATTGTCATTTATAAATTTCTTATAGCCCTCTATGCAATTCATATAAAATTTTGAATCTGCACTTCCCATTTTCATTGTAGACTCCAGCTTGTTTATAACATACATATTTTAAAAACTATTTTTATGTGTGAAGATTTTTATAACTTCTGCCTTATTATGTGGTTTTCTCTATAAAGAAATACCCTTGATTTTGAACTTTAAGTTTTTTTTATTGATAATTTTAGTTTGTTTTTGTGGTATCAATATTGAAATGCTCAAAGGAATGTTTTTTCTCTGTACTTGATTTATTGATCTATGAGTTTTAACTGATGTGCCTTTTTGGCATAATGAAAATGAATGCATGCTTGAGGTATAAAATTTTGTATGATCAATAAAAACTTTTTGAAAGTTTGTGTCTCATTTCTTAAGTAAAGTCATACTTCTTTACTTAACGTCAGTCATTTATGCTTATTCAGTCTTACTTTGCTCTACTGTTTAGTCCCCTTTACCATGTCTCTATGCTTCCAGTAACTGATTTGTATGCTTATGGGCTCTTCCCCCTCTAAAGCAGGGGTAACCAAACAACTACAGCCTGTGGGCCAGATCCAGCCCTCCAGGTCAGTTTGTCTGGCTTGCCTCCATATGGGATTTAAAACTTGGAAGATCCATTTTTAGAGATGTGTTTATTGCATGCTCACAATAATTTCTTCAAACCTTACAGTTGCAGTGCAAATTAAACGTGCTTTTCAAGACTTCATAACTTCTTGAAGCGTAACGCCAATATCACAAATCTCTTCTGGCTTTTTTTTTTTTTTTTTGCAGCTTGGTTTGTAAGATTCAAATATGTGCATACAAGGTGTGATATATCTTTTATATTATTTTTTATGTAAATTATAGGATGTATTACAAGACTTGAGTATTGTAACTCTATTGTCAGGAATATATCTCTAGAGAAAGCTAAAAGATCACATCCTCCTTTATACATAGAAGAAGGGAGTTTTATCTTTGACACGGAACATCTCTGGGAAAGTTTGAGAGCAATGAAATGAGTCCTCTTTCCCATTGTCTTCGAGATTTATATCTCACATTATTCTTTTCAGAATAATGAGTGAGGTAATGTATTTTTATCCACTCTCGCTCCAAAGGTAGTCTTAAAGACCGAGGTGAGACATTTCTTTTATTAGATAACAGCTTTTTGAAGATGATGAAGCAGTTATGAATTTCTAGGAATTGGAGGAAAAACTTCTAAACATGATCGATACATTTAGCATTTATAGTTGGGTAGAAAATAATTTGTGGGACAATAATCAACAAGCAAATGATGAAAAAAATGTTGCCTAGAATCTACAACGCAATCTGAAAATGCTTTTGGAAATGAAAAGCAATTAACAAATCATTTTACGTAACTACGCTCTACTTTCAACATCAAATAGGCGCTTGATCAAGAGTTCAGAATCAGAACTGGTTGAATTTCCACAACCTTGTTGAGCAAGCTGTCAAAGAAAGTTTGATGTAGAAAGGATCTTAACTTTACAGCCAAGATGGCAGTTCTACCAAACATGCATTCTTATTACATCTCGACACTCTTTTGTGAGCTGGTTCACTTCTTAAGAAAAAACTCATCAGCTTTCTAGGGAGAAAAAATGGAGAGGGGGGGGGGGGAGCTTGTCTCTGCTCGGATGTACAGTGGAGTTGGCTTTAATCTAAATCTGTGGGACTTCTGAATTTTCTTCAGATTAACCAGGTTTTCAGATTAGATTATAGCTCAAATGGAAGAGAAAAAAACGAGGATTTTATTTTCTTTCACTTTATTGCTGTTTTAGGATTAAGTGTGTTGTATTTAAGCCGACTCTGCAATGGTAATATAAGGATGTCTGCAAAAAGAGGCATCAGTCGATTTAGCCTTTTAAAAACTGACCCTGGAATCTGCACATAATGACTCCTTAGCCTTATGGGCCATTATCACAAGACATAAGTTACATAATGCAGTAAAACACGGATTGGTCGAATTTGTCGGAATCGACATCGGTAGTTCGAGGGATATCTTACAAAGATGAAGAAAAAACGGGACCGCAGGCACAGTTTGTCGGATGCGTGATTTCGAGTCTTCTGTGTTCGACATTATACCTATCCGTGTTAGTCTGTATAATTGTGTAGACTAGGCCAGTTCTTGTCAACCTTTCTATAGTTAATGTCAGCACCCAACTACATGTGGTGAGGGGCTAGCACAATCCCTGTCACAACCACGACCAGGGTGATCTCAAGACGCCAAAATTACCAAATAGCCTACTAGTGGACGATATCGATCAGAGTATTCAGAGTGGTAATTACTGGTCAAGGTCAAATCAGCACAAACGTTGTTTTTGTTTTTTCCCACGGACCTTTGTTTACTAATAATTGAAATTAGATTAAAGAATTAAGGTGGGAAAACGATGTAGAACGTTTTCGATTCGGGTGAATTGCCCCGTTACAGACAGAATAGGTTTACTCAGGGCGTACAATGTAGCGAGTGCTGGAAATTTTTGGTTTGGAAAGAGCAAAGTACAACATGTAGTAAGACCACCGGAGGAGGGAAATGGGATGGAGATCCTGTTTGATTTGTGGCCCTCTGAAGCAGCTAAATTAACAAGACCAGTAACAAAAACAAGACCCAAAAGACTGAAAGTGGAGTTGGAAAAGGGGGGGGGGCTTGCTGTAATCTCCACTCTCGGACTCGCCTGCTTCCACTTCCATCCAGCTCAAGCAAAGCCAACGATTGGTGGGTGAAATGGAAGTCCTGTTGTGTTGAAAAGAACACGGGTGTCTGACACACTGCCTACACCATATTTCGGGAGTCCAAGGTGTATTGGTTGGGCTCTCGACCTCGAACATAGAGGCCTAGAGTTCGATCCTTCCATAGGAAAGACATCGTCACTCTTCTGTTTTGACGAAGACTACCCGCCTAGACGACCGAGACACCCGCCCTGTGTGTAGGTGATCTAACCTGTGTCGCTAGAGGCTCGTAAAAGATTTCAGAATAGGAGTATATCTCTGGCCAGGAATAGAAACCTTAATCTCTTGGCCAATCACGTATAACCAAATCAAAGTTGGCCTACAACCTAACGTAGTATTTGTACATGGTTGTTTTTTGTGCTTGTGACCTCGTTTCGTCGGCCGCGGCAGTTGCAAAAGGGTGTTGCAAAATTGCTGATACAGAAGTTTTGCTTCACTCAAAAGCAAGCACAAAATCTATTCTTTCCCCGCGGTTTTATGCAACAACAACAAATTTAATCTGAAATTATGCTAAATTGGGCCCCCCCAAAATGTGAACTTATGCGATTCTGTTAAGTTTAACAAAGAATTATAAAGGAAAATAATCAGAAATTATGCAAAAAATTATCAAATTTGGCTAAATTATGCGGGGTGCATAAAACCTCGGAGACAATCTATTAAACACGTCACTGGTACAACAGAAACGCCAAAGACACACTCTTTCTAAAGGTGTCTTTTATTTTTAAAAGCAGTGAATACCAGCTTTAACTTATTAATAAACTTGGGTAAAAATCAGCATTTCTGAATGCAGTCCGCCGCGAGAAGGCCCGCCTTGTATGTTATTTTTGCTATTCATAATTCAGTACACAGTCACTCTTGACGCTTGAAGATGGAGGACGAAACGCTCATTGATGAAGTATACGAGTTTCCGTTTATTTACAACAAATCAAACCCAAAGCACAGTAATAAAGTGTATCTCGAAAAGGCGTCGGTAGATATTGCCCATGAGACAAAATGCAGGGGTAAGTAGGTTAGTCTATCAGTTGCCTTTAAAACAACAACAGTTCGTGCCAGCTGAGTACAGATGCTTATTTTACATAACGTATTGCTTTTCCTTTTTGTAACATGGCCAAACAACCATTGGGGATAAGTGTGTGCGTACGTGTGTGCCTCTGTCTGTGTGTGTGTGTGTGTGCCTCTGTCTATGTGTGTGTGTGTGTAATAATAATAATAAATAACAAATAGCATTTATAGCGCATATCCCTGCTCAACAGCAGGCTCTATGCGCTTAACTGCTTAACACTAGGCCTATATTATTACCCACAGAACACTCCGAAACATTCTCAGCTTCCCGGGAAGCATACAGTGCAAGCAGCTGATTAAGCGCTCAAACACTAACAAACTGACAATAAATGTGTGTGTGTGTACTGTGTGAGTGAGTGAGTGTGTTTGTGTGTGTGTGTGTGCGTGCGCGCGCGCGCCTGTGTCATTCAGATACTCTTTACATTTCTCGTCATCTTGCATGATAGCGGGAAACAAGTGATGAAACTCGCCACATGTTGATCTTGCTCTTAGGGTATGTCTACGTGTCCGCTGAGACGGACAAGGCCTGATCTTTTGCCGGGAGGAAGAAAATCGGTCCGGTCGTTTCCGTATTGTGTCTCCACCAGTTCGGACAAGACACGTCTAGTCTGTTGGCCTACTGGCCGCCTTATCCACACACTGTGCCCCAAGGCTGTGTCCTCAGTACAGGGCTACAAATGGTCGAGGTCAATGAACCCAAGGCGAGAATAAGAAATGAATGGGGCTTTTAAGGAAAATTTGTAAAATTGTTAATAGTATGCGTTTAAACCAGGTGACTTGCGTAAAGACTGCTAATTTTGAGGCGCTGATTACGAATATGACATTAGAATTTTAATCCGAACCCAAAATTAGATTTATTTTTTTTTAGATCCATCGGGGCATGGCTCATGCGTCACGACCCAGCCCGCCTAATTTGAGCAAGCGGCTTTGCAACCGACACGTCTTTTATTGGGGCGTATCGTGTATGTTGACACAGCCAAACAGACTTTCACTGATTTCTTAGGAGAAAGACGGTGGTCTATTTCAGCTACCGACTTTCCGTGAGACGGACTGAATCGGGTCGGTTGGTGTCCGTCGTACCAGACCCGGACCCTAATTCTGCTAACCTCTCCAGCTTCAACAGCACAAATTCTGCTTCGACTACCAAGGCACCCGAGAAATTGCGGGTCACAAGAGCGTGACAAACACACAAAAGAAGTAGAGGGAAAATGACGATAGCAAGGATTAGGAAAGAAAAAGCAGCAGTTCCCTGTTGCAGTTCAGGCACAGTTATGAGCATGAGTTGATGAATCAGCCCATTTACAATAAAATTAGCCAACAATTCTACTCTGCACAAGAACATGGTTACTGTCCTGAGGACATTCCTCCCTTTGGGAATGGCCTAAAACTGTCCCCGTGATTTTATGCACCCCACATAATTTAGCAAAACTTGATCATATTTTGCATAATTTCGGATTATTTTTCTTTATCATACTTTGTTAGAATTAATAGAATCTCATCATTTCGCATTTTTGGGCCCAGTTTGCATAATTTCAGAATTTATCTTTCATAAAACGACGAGGACAGTTAAAGACACTTCAGTCAGTAGCACCCCCGGGGGGGGGGGGGTTGATTGTTTATTTGTTATAGATGTTTGTAGATTTTTTTAAAATTATGATGGAAAGCAATGCTGCCAGGTGGGTTAAATTGTAAAGGGGGGGGGGGGGTCTTGCCGTGACTTAGCATTGAAATCGCTCAGGTTATAAAAGAAGCATAATTAATTACCGGAAAGACAGTAAAACACGCATTATATTGGCTATATACAATATAAAAGGCAACGTGGAAATATAATTATAGCTCGTTGACATTCGTCTGACCGCGGTTAAAATGGGATAAAACAAATCGTTAATCTTTTTGGCTCTTTGCATGCAGGTCTAAAAGTTAAACGACCAACAAAATCTAAAAGCACATTCATAAAAGTCACTGCAAACTAAGGTTCCAGTACGTTTTCTTTGATATAAGCCTAAAACTTAAGCAGGTTTTAAAAAAATAATAATAGGGGATTTACAGCATACACCTGAAACAAACAAAAGTTGGCATATTTTTCCTCAACACCGCACTTTTACATGCGCCAAGAAATGCGATTCAAGAAACGAGGTGAGTAATTTTCATGGCACTTCCGCAGGCCAGCGACCTAACAAAAAATTATTTTTAAAAAAAATCTTGACCCAGTAATAAAAAAAGGTTTTTCTCTTTGGGCCTTATATTTAAAAACACAATTTGGGTGTATATAGGTTTACACAGGATCACTAAAACAAATGACTTACAATAGCCTTGCCTACATTGATGATTTTGAGACAGTGACTACAATAAAATATATTACCCTGCCTCTACATTTCAGTCTGTAGATGTATTCACCCTTCCACGTGCTCCATGTGAGTCTCGAAAACTCACCCCCGTCTCTTGAATCGTTTTTCTAAAGCGAGTACTAAAGTGTGGTGTTGAAGAAAATGTGTCAACATTTTAACTGTTTTAGGTGTATGCTGTACTGTAAATCCCCTATTACTATTTTTTGTGACACGCTTTTGGTTTACCTCATCAAAGAAAACGGGTCGGAACCTTAGTTTGCAGTGACTTGGTCATCCTGACCCATGCAAAATTGGTCAGGGCGATTTCATCTTGCTTTAACCACGGTCAGACGAAAGCGAACAAGTTAAAGTGAATCCCGTGTATGCATCCAAAGAGCAATTTTTACTTTAGGGCCCAGAGAGAAAACCCTTTTTTAAATTATTAGGGCCTACTGGATCAAGATTTTTTAAAACATATAACATTTTTTGTTTGATCGCTGACCAGCGGAAGTGCCATGCAAAGTTTCTTGGGAATAGGTAAATTAATAAATGAGATACATTGTATAAGGTTTTTTTTAAACATGGACAGACGAAAGTGAACATTCAGCAAGCTAGGCTATAGCCTAGTGGGTTAAGTGGGTTCTTGGTCTTGCCCAAGGGCCTCCCACAGGCTGTCAGGGGCAACGAGCGGCCTTACCGTTCCTGCTGATGGAAGATTGGTGTAGATCTACTGAAAAGGCCTGGTGTAGAAATCTAGGGCCTAACCAAGGACCCTCCTTTGGGCCTAACCTAAACATCGATGTCTGTCCCACCAATAATCCGACAATGAACGTGACTTTTTATGGAGAAGAAGATCCAAAGGTTACTCACTTACGCATGATGAAAGTCAGATTTAGGGACAGTATTTAGGACTGGGCGATTTGCTGTTGATCTACCAAACTCCACAGAAAGAAAGAAACTATGAAAAAAAAAATGCGATTTATTCTAAGATCCTTGGTTGCCGCACAGCGTTAATCTTTAATGTCTGAAGTTCAGATAGTATCTTTTATATTGTTTGTGTTCCTGGAGGGGTGGCCGAGGATGAACCCGGGACGTTCAGTTTCTTCATCATAAGGCGAGATACTCCATGTCTTTGAACCATGTGCAGAACATGACAACGATGTCGTTAAAAATACGTTTTTGATCAAGTCGATTGATGGGATTTGAAGCTTTTTATCTGAGGTTACAGAGCTATCTTGTCCTATGGGTGACGAAAGCTTCCGCATAGATCTGGGTACGACATCACCAGTAGATCTCCTGCCACTTGTTGTGGTCAGTTCATCGACACCACAAAAGTTTGAGAAGTCCACCAAAAAATATGATAGTAATTGTCGATCAAGCTCAAACTCAAACGCCAATGTTGTTTCGTCCAACTTTGATTTGGATATTATCTCCATTTCATCCGGCTCTGATCACCATGATGTTATAGATCTAGATGATCTAGATCTAGATCTAGACTCAGATATGAATGTTGTTGTTATAGATTCAGAAGGTAGTTTATCAGATGGTGATTCATGCATAATTACAGATGGAATTCATGAAACGTTGCCTTCCATTTCAGATGGGTATCCTGAAAGTGTTCCGAGAAAGAAATTGAAATTGTCGTTGCAACGAGTTAAATCGGATTCAGTATCAAGGCCTCAGAAAAAGCGCCATAAAACTGCACTAGATAACAAAATTGATCCACCTGATGACCTTCCTGATCTTCAAGTTATTGCTTCAACAAAAGCGAACATCAGTAATGTAGATCTTAAAGTACTTGAACTTGAGCAAAAGCCAAAGGAAAACGAACGAGGACATGGTGGATCATTCAAAAATGTATCGATGGTCAAGAAAGAACTTTGTTCATCAAAGGGCCATGTTAATCATATTATTGCACTTCCTAAAAGCCGACATTTGATTAGAACAGATCGAGAAAGTGCTTGGGAGGTATTAGATTCTTTGCAAAATCCGTCAGGGAAGACAAAAGTGCCATGTACAGAGGATGAGGTTTGCAAAAAAAAGACTCGAGACAGAATCAATGCTGAGCCATTAGAAACTTTATCTTTTCCCTTTCATGGACTTAAAAGTTTGTGCAATTCTTTCAACAGTGGAAATGATGGTGGCTATGAGAAAAGTGAAAACAACCATGATGTGTCAGAAAAGAAAATCAGGAAAGAGGATAAATGTGAAGAAACACAAGCTTTTTTGTCTTCCATGAACGCTGGTGATTCAGTGTATGATGTACCAGTTGAAAAGCCTGTCTGTATACCTTGGGATCCGGACAGAAGTCAACATACTTCTTCTTTATCTTCAGTACTTGAGAGAAGCAACAGCATGTTTTATCATCAGGATGGCTGTAATAGGTCTGCATCATCAAAAGAAAATGTGCAGCAAGGATTGCATACTTCAGTAGATACATTGGATGATTTGAATTCAAAGGCAAAAGTACCTCATGAGGAGATTAACTTTCACAAAAAGGCAACTGCTGGAAAAATGTGTGCAGAACCTTTAGTAGGGTCTGTGCCATTTCTCCTTTCTGACTTGCCGTTCAATTCATTTCTAGACAGAACTGAGAGTGACACTGAACAAAGGGAAAATTCCCATAAGATAGTCCAAAAGGAAAGCTTGAAAGGATGCTTGAGTGATGAAAAAGAAACATGTTCTACCTCTTTGAAAACCGGTGGTTTAAAGTCTGGTTCCCTAGATGAAGTGTCTGATTGTGATGTTTCTCGTCACACACGCACATCTAGTCCATCATCAGGGGTTGAGGAAGGCAACAGCAGTGTTCTTCATCATCAAGGTGATTTTCACAGTGTGGCAAAAGACACACAGGTTCAAAATTTAGATTCATCAGTTTTCCCAAGAAAACTGACAGCTTCTGGGCTTCCAAAACAGATGGCTTATTTAAAAAGAAATATTATTCTGATGCCATCAAGTCCAGTTGTCCTTTTACCCTGCAGTTCCATCACTGCAGTACAAAAAGAATTCAGTTTTTACCACACTGATATAGTGGAGGCTGCTTTGGACTTCGATAACACGCTGGATGCATTAATTTTATTGCTAGATTTTTCTGCTTCATATAAACCAACCAAAGAAGTGACTGGAAAAGTCGTGAAAGCTCTAATAGAAAAAAGTGAACAAGGACCATTTAGACAGTTTGTTACGCTCAGTATTTTATCCCTTTGGCAGCAACATCCTGGTGTCTTTTCAATCTCTACCGATGACTTCAAAAGTGCAGTGTTATCTGGAGATGGAACAAACTTGTCTGTAATAATCACCGAATTGCATCTTAGTCTATTCACAAGGAACCTTTGTGATTCTGCAGCAGCGCGATATTCGTCTGCCTTCTCTTTATTGTCAGTGAATAAGGAGGGAAATAGGGAAGGCCTCAAGCTAATTTTGCAGACATTATGTGGCATGATTTTGTCTAAGTCACAAGAACAGCTCTTTTCTTCTGTTGCAACTGTGGAAAGCTGTGATGGAGAAGACCCTGCTTTGATATCCTTTGAAAGTTTGGCTCAGGTCTCTGCGTTGCAACATGCAGTCTCTCTTGGGATTGTATCATCAAGGAACGAGGCAAGTGTTTTCTTCTTGTTCTCCTCTCTGCTGGTGACTGTAATGTTAAACTTTTTTTTTTTTAAAGTGTTTTATGGATGGGGGCAAAAGAGGTGAGGGGGTGTTGGCAGAAAGTGGAGACAAAAGCAGACGACAGCATAGTTAAAGAGCAGGAAAGGGAGAACATTTTTTAGAAGAAAATTTTCCTGTGGCTTTCTGGATTCAAACCCAAGACCTATCGAATGAGAGGCACACACTGTAACCTCTCGACCACCAGAGCCCCTCTCCTTTTTTTAAGTGTTTTAATTTCTCATTTAAGTTTAATAGTTTTTTCGCAAGATAGTGAGTTCAAGATCCTAGCGTGTCTTTTTTGTGTGCACACTGTTTACCGGATGATTTCATTTTCTTTTTTTTCAGACCCATGTTAAAGTTTCTCTTGTTTTGCCTTGTCTGTTGTCACACATGTATACATCGCTGTCTTTTTCCCTGCTTATGCTCTGATCGAAAAGACTAATATTTATGTTGGTGTACTTATTATTACTTTTATTATTATTATGTCATATTATTTACTTTTTCCTCATCACTCCCTGGTCTGCAGATATTGTCTCTGTTTGTCCTGCCTCAATAACCCAGTAGTGGCAATGGGCTATTTTATTTATAAGACAGATGCTAATGCTAGCAAATCTGTCACTTTCAGACTTTGGGCTCTGTCTTAGTCATACTCAATAATTCGTTCCTATATGTGGGAATTGACCCTTTTAAGTGCAGAGTGGAAAACATCCTTTGCATAACAGATGGCAGTCCTCCTGTCGTCGATAATCCGTGCCTGTCAACTTTCTTATTGCCAGCGACCACTTTAAAAATTGCTACCTTTAGGAAGCCCAAAAAATTGTACTGCCCACACATGTGTTTCCAAGCAGAGCATCTAATAATACTTGTCACTATTCAGATAATCACCATCTTACTTTACTTTTACTTTTTCATCCTCTGTTGCCGTTAAGCATCGAGGGGGGATGCAGTTTTCTATGGTAGGCCAACTCCGCAGCTCTTTCAGTTGTGATGTTATAATGTTTTCTTTAGGGTTTCTTTGACAACCTCGATCCACCTTTTGCGTGGCCTTCCTCTTCCTTTATAGCCCAAGTGCTTGGTGTTGTCGGCTCTCGAGGCTGGCTGGTCAGGTGACATGCGTAACAGGTGGCCAAACCATTTTATCCTCTATCTTTCTTTGTAACGCAGGGAGGACTCAGTGCTGATAGCTGCTATTACTTCTTCATTTCTCTGCCTGTCTCGTCTCGTGATGTTAAGCATTTTGCGGAGACATTTCATTTCGCATGCAGTGATTTTACTTTCATGGGTTTTGCTTAAAGCCCAGGTCTGGCACTGTATAAATAACATAATGTTGGTATGAATATTGAGGTGATAAGCTGTCTCTTTGTGTCCATGGAAATGTTTGGATGAGATAGGAGGGGTGCGAGCTGGTAGGTGTCAGCGTTGGCTTTTTGAGTTCGCATTTCTATTTCTCTGTCTATGGACCCGTTTTCAGAAAAAGTGCTGCCAAGATATTTGAACTCCTTCACCTGTTTCAGTTGTTTACTGGTGACATGGATGCTCAGGGGACTATGGTTTCGGCTCACTTTCATAACTTCTGTCTTTGATGTGCTTATTTTCATGTTGAATTTCTCACAGCTGTTGTTGAGTTTGGTAGTGTGATTTTGGAGGCTTTGCTGGTCATGATGAATAAGACATTGGTCGTTTGTGAACAGAAATTCATTTAGGTTTTCTAGGCTTTGGTTTCCGTCTTGCGTTATTGTGTCCATATATATATATATATATTATGGGGAGATAGAACGCATCCCTGTCGTACTCCAGATCTTACTTTGAACCAGTCTGTATTGCCTTCCTTTGTTCTTACTGAGCTGCTACTGTTGGTATAGCTCTGACATTATCTAACATTTGTCCTCTGACGCCGCACCATACTTTTTGAGTGTCTTCCAGAGTTTTGCATGGTTTACTCTGTCAAAAGCCTTCTCCTGGTCTATAAAGACAATCACCATCACCCACAAAAATTACCAAATCATCCACAAGTGGGCAATATTGCCCAGGCTGGCAAGCACTGTTGTAGTTGTAGATAGTAGTATTTAGATAAATCAAGAGGTTCCACGTTTAAAGGATGCAAAATAAAATAAAAAATAGAGTGATGTTTATTAAGAGCAAATTTATGAAAGGATTATATTCCATGGCTGTGTGTGAAACTAGCAGGCTTGAGAATTGTGCATTCTGATTTATTGAGTTAAGCTGAACATAGCAGAGTGGCCTGACATGATTTTCATTTACATGTGATGACATTTCAATGAAAAATGGAAAAATTTAATGTAGAAAATAAAGTTGTCTTGATAACTAAAGTATGTCTTTGAAAAAGTTGTTTTTTATTTGGTAAACGAAAACAAGAACTGAATTTTCAACTAAAATTAATGAATAACGTAGGGATCCAGTCAGTATATAGGCATGTCCTTTGACTTTAATCAAGTTGCATTTTAATTTTATCTCTCTTTCTCTCATGTAATGTGTTTTGTTTCATTCTAAATCTCTAAATTATTTTTTTTCTTTCGTCCGGGATAGAATGAATGCTTGCTCTTCTTGGCTGGTGAATTGTCACAACTCTACAAAACTTTGCACTGTTGTGAGTCGAAGGTACTGTTTCTCAGCACACTGGAAATACCCAAGCTGGTCTTGCTTGTCATAAGACGATTGCTCTTGGAACAGAATGTTGGTGCTGTTCATTTCAGTAAATGTGGCCCGTCAGTGGCTGCACTGCTTCCTTGTTTCAGAGATGTCATTTCTTTACATTCAGCGGTAAGTTGAAACGTATTTATAAAACTTTAAAAACATGAAATTAATTAAAATTGGATGAAAAAAAACCCACTCCAGTCTAGCAGGCATCATAGTGAACATCATTTAATGAAGAAATTTTCAAGTCCTGAATTTTTTCTTTTAATTTAGAATTATACAATCTAGCATTCCAATAATAATGAAATCAGTGGAATGCCGAAACCTATTCGTTTTGTGTACAAATTTCAGATATTGAGGATTATGGTCAAAGTTGGACTATTTGGTCAGATGTTTTTAGGTATTCTAGAGTTCCTTTTATCCATGCCAACATGCATGTTGTGTAAATTGTCATGCAGATTTGGTTGTTTTTAAAAAAACTTTTTTCCCCCCTCATAATAAATAATATTCACATCTACCAAGATCAGTTGTTTTACACGACCAAGAAAACTTTCTGCCTATTTTGCTATGTCATAGTCCACTCTCTGCTACAAGTTCACCTATACATGACTTTGAAGAATGCTGGCAAGTTGTTGCATACTGTGCAATTTCTGTTGAAGAGGAAGTGTGCTGGCTGTTGACACATGAGATAGCAATTCGTAACTACACAGGACCGCAGACTCTGGACACCCAAATAAAGTGTGTAGGCAAGGCTAGATCTACCACTGAACACTTCTGTCAATACCCATATTTTTGACTACACTTGTACCCTCAGCTTAAGTAGGGATTGTTGGCCTACACTTATACCAATCTCTCTCTCTCTCTCTCTTTCTCTCTCTCTCTCTCTCTCTCTCTCTCTCTCTCTCTCTCTCTCTCTCTCTTTTGCTATTCTCTCTCTCAACATGGTTTACATTTTCAAAACACGCATACGGCATAAACAACTCACCCTTACTGAAAAAAACTGATGTCAGCGAGGGGTAGGGTAGGTCTTATAAAACGCTACAGCAAATTTTGTTTACCAAAGTAGTGAGTGAGAGAGAGAGAGAGACAGAGAGAGAGCAACCTCTCTATTAAAAACCAAGGACAGTGGTTATGGTCAAGGATGTAGTATACATCAGAGGTTTGTCTGAGCAGCCTAGGCTATACACTTCAGTTCGCTGAGGGTGCTTGCTGTCATGTGAAAAGATGTTTCCTGTACTGTATGATTGAATGTGAGTCAGTGCGTTTCCTCTTCAATAGTTGTTCATTGTTTCGCAATACACAACAACTTGGCTGGGGGTTGGAGGGCGCCACTGGTAGGTTCTAGGCCTACTACTGCTTTACTTTCCCGCTGTTGTTTTTGTCTATGTGTTACTTTTTCCCTGCACTAACTAAATGACCATTATTGTGTCTCTGTTCAAACAAAGCAAACAAGCAACAACTTCCTGTCATTCTGCATTGAGGTCTTGGTGAAGTTGTAGTCTACTAGTAGTGAGTGTACCATGGTGGAGTAAAATAAGAGGAAATGCTTCTCATGGCTCAGTTAAGGAAAAATTGCTAATCCAAGCAGATATGATAAAAAAAATTTTTTTTTTAAAATCTGAGTGGCTATGAACCCAAAACAAATGTTGATGTGGCATAAAAGGCATAATTTAAAGCATTTAGCTCCTCAAGATGTGTCCTGATACATGCCCCAAAATCCTGGAAAAAGATTTTCCTTTAGAACTATCATACACATACATGTGTATATATATTTTTTTATTTTTTGAAATATATTTTTTTAATTTTATTTTTTTATATATATTTTTTAAATTAATTTATTTATTAAAAAAATTTTTTTGTACAAAATAAAACGATTTGGAAAAAATGCAATTGTATTAGGAAAAGAATACTGCTTCCAGCGAGCCAGTTTCCACTGCTATACAGTGTGGGCGAGTTATTTATTTCTCCCATTATAGTTGTGACTATTGGGTTCTAATTCGTTACCCATCTATTTCTTCAAATTAAAAAATAACCAACTCCTCAAGAGACTCTAATTAGAAATGGTAGACTGAGAAATGAACTTTGAATATGTTTTTGTTTTGGTTAAGATCACCTCATAGGCTGAGTTTTTATGTATTAAAAAGTTTTTTGTTGTTTATTTGTCCAATTTTCAGCCCATTTTGTCATATATATATATATATATATATAATTATATAATGTATTTACGTTAAAAATTCACACACACTCTATTTTCGACTATTCAACTCAAGAAAAAAAAGAACACAACAACAACAACTCTATTTTGCTTTAAAGTCAATTCTAATCAGACATTCTTTCTAGACTTCACAGAAATGGATGTGACACTCACTGCGCAATGCCGCTCTACGCTCTAGGTGCACAATGATAGGCTCCAGGCAACGCTACTCTAGGTGTTAAATGGTTAATTGTCCAACTTTGTCTGCCGCCCTTGATATCATTTAAGAGTCGTACTTTGAGACATTTATACACATTTTCATGTCCTGCCAGATTTACAATGTGCTTTGCTAGACTGTATGCAGTTTTTTTTTTAAAAAGTGACGTCAGGTTAAATACCGTCAACTTCACTTGTGTTGAAGTCGCTTTAGTTGATCTTCATTCAATTTGATCTTTTTCTTGGGTCCCAGCACATCTTTTTCTTTACATTTGTTTAAGTCAAATGGTTATGTTGATTTAAGGGTGACCTTATTTAGGCCACATATGGCCTAAATAAGCTAAACCTCCCTCCCTAACCTTATTTAAATAAGCTAACCCTCCCCCCCCCCTCCCTTACCTTATTTAGGCCACATGGCCTATATAAGCTAGCCCCCCACCTAACCTTATTTAGGCCAAATAGAGAGAAAGAAACCCTCTTCACATCCATCTTCAATTACAGCAGGACATGTAATGAATCTAGAATCAATTTAAGGTCCTTTTCTGTATAAAAATCTGCAGTTAAAAACCTGTGCTGTTGGTACATGTCTGAATTACCCGTACTGAATTTATTAATAATTTATACGTATTTTCTTCGAAAGTGGATAGGTGGATCTCAGGGTGTAGTCCTTTTCTGTATACAAATCTGCAGTTAAAAACCCGTGCCGTTGGTACATGTCTGAATTACCTGTACTGAATTAATTAATAATTTATACGTATTTTCTTCAAAAGTGGATAGGTGGACCTCGGGGTGTAGCGTAACATCGTTTAGTGTTAGGGTAAGGCAAGGTTTTAAAAAGAAGAAGAAAAAAACCATGGTGGGCAGACTCGGTTCGACATTATTCCAGTTAAACTTCAACCTTAATCGTCATTCTTAATTTTTTAAAAGACTTTTTGGGGGAAAAAAGTGGTTTGTTTAATTTCTTTATTATTTTTTTATATGTTTGTTTGGTAAATCATCCCGGCAAATATGATGTATTTAACAGAATCTAGAGTAACACTGCCACCTGGCAACTCTGAATGTCTAAGCATTTTGAGGATTTGAGATGAGCAACAGATTAGAATGGCATGGTTATGCTGATAGGCTAGTCCTACTACATTAGATCATATATACAGCAGTTTGTTTTTAAAGTAGATTTCTAGAACTAATCATGTATTCGCAAGATCAAGATTCTACTGATCTTTTATTTTGTGAGGGGTATTATTTCAAAATACATGTAGATGAATGATTATGAATGAAAAGTGGACAAAGGGTAGGAGTTGTGTGTGTGTGTGGTTGTGGTGAGTGAGAGAGAGAGAGAGAGAGAGAGAGAGAGAGTAAATGTAATAGTGTTTTTGTATGCGTGTGTGTAATGTGTGTACTGTAAGTGTGTGAGTGTTATTGTGTTCGTGAGTGTCTACCTGAGTTGTACGGTCCAAATGTACTTTATTTTGTTGAGAAGTTTACATATAATGCACACAACTACAAAACACCTCTTTGCAAAGTCACAGAAATATTTTTTTGTACTTATAAAGGTACAGTGCAGAGTGATTATAAAAATCACCTGCAATGATAATCGGACAAAATGGGCAATATCCTTACTGCTACTAATGGTCATATTTAGACAAATCCTACATCATTCTCTTTGTTTTTCTTAACTGCTCATGATTGTTAAAGAGTAAGCCAACTAGGTAGTAATTCCCTAATATTATGGGCATTCTTAAAATTTTAAAACTTGTTTTTAGCGCTTTTCTCAAAGTAAAACGGATTCCGTTAAAAAAACAAATGACCATAAGTCAGCTACTTATTCTTTTTATTCAAAGTATTGTAGGCCTACATACATTTGTGTGAAACTGTATTTTATGCTTTCAAGTACAAAATCAAGCAAAATGTTCTTCAGATACATAGTAGTAGGCCCACTGGAACATTTAATAAACTGTAGAAAGATGACCAGAAAATAACAAAATCATCTTATGATCTTCACTTGCACTGGCAATTTTTTGGACAAATTATAGTGTACCTCATTACTTTTTTTTTTCACACACTTTTCTTCACTATTCATGACAACTGTTGTTTTCAGTTATTATGAATAAGTCATTTTCTTTGATTAGCACAATAAAAAAAAATTATTGAGTCAGAGGCTCGCTTTCTAAAAATTCCACTGCTAATGCTATTCTTATCAAAGAAAATGGCACAATTTGATAATGTAAAAATATCCAGAAAATAATAACATAAAATTATTATGTAGGCCTACTGAAAGACTGAGCAGATGCTTATAATCTCTGCTCTCTACTAGAATCTAGTAAGTTTGCGCAAAACAGAATTTAGGGGGGGGGGGGGGGAGTTGTATCTATCTAATAAAAGTAAAAGTAATTGTTATGGTGAGATTTGTTATTATTAACTCTGGAAAATATAGTTAGATGATGAATCAAGAATTAACTAGAATTGTACAATTCGTTTTATTTCATTTCCAAAGCTCAAAGGCATAACAATAAGTTAGGTCTTGCAGCTGTAGGCTCTCTGGCTGCTACCGGACTCGTAATCGTGAGATTGCGGGTTCCGGTGTTCGAGCCTCAGCTCGATCCGACGTTGTGTCCTTGGGAAAGGCACTTTACACGAACTTCCCACTTGGCTCGGTCCTATCGGAGACGGACGTTAAATTAGGAGGTCCCGTGTTGATAGGGGCGTTAAACTCATACCATTTCACCATTTTGCTCTGTGGCTACTTTTTCTAGCCTAGGCCTACTACTACTGATCCAAGACGGGGAATCTAGATTTAGCTATCACTTGCACTATTCAAAAGTCAAATACAGTCAAACCTGTGTAAGACGGCCACCCATTGTCAAGGAGAAAAGTGACCGTATAAGACGGGTGGCCGTCTTAGGCAGGACTGATCAAGATGAAGAAAACAAACAAATCCCATCTGAGGTCCCAATCGAAAGAAGCCGCATTGTTGTGGTCTTAATTGTTGTTGTTGTTGGTTTGTATTTTGTTTGTAATTTTTATTTTGTTGCTGATTTTGCACAAGGGTGACTATAAAACGAAATGTGTCAGACGAGGAAGACCGAGTGCCATGTTAAAACAAACACATGGGTCGCCACCACTCGGAGAACGAGCGACGCTTCTGTCACAAGTTCACGTCAACGTCCATTGTTACAGACGGGGTAAACAGTGACCACTCATCTCACTTACGATTTGTGTATGAGTTCTGGGCGGGGCTTATGGGTTATAAGGGATCACACGCTTACCTCACCAGCAGTTGAAAATTGGTAGCTATTACTATTGGTCAACAGTGGGAGGGGCCTACGCAACATGATCGGTTGGAGGGACTACCTAACAACAACGACAGGTGATTGAATTATGACAGCTCGCCCACAACGCCAGGGGCCAATGCACAATTTATCACAAAATGCAATGAAGTCACTAAGGTGGCCGCCTAAGACAGGTGTTATTGCTTAATGTGATAGAGATTGTGTGATAAAATATGGTGGCCATGGCGGCGTTGGACAGGTGCCCGTTTTACACAGTTAAATTATATAGAAAAAACGCAAGGGGGGAATGGAAAGTGGCCATTTGTACAGGTGGTCGTCTTTAGAGGTGGCGGTCATGGCAGGTTTGACTGTATATGGTAAAAAAACAACAACCTGTGAATTGTTTTGTCAGTCACCATAGCTGTATGTATAAATCTAAGTTGAATAATGTGATGCCCAAGCAACACGTTATCACTAGTGTGCAGGGGAGAGCGGGGTGCTGGGGTCGCTGACTAGCCGGTACAGTCGATTCGGCGGTGCGGCTTTTGTAGATCTATGCATTTTTACGGAAAGCCCTATTAGCGTTGTGAAAACTTCAACCTATACAGCTCAGGCGTCAAAAGATCTTGGAAAATAATAATAGGTCTTGAATTTTCATAATGTATACATGTATATACAGGATAACACAGCCAGTAGTTTTTATTTCATCGCGTTGTAAAAATTGCCTTGTTTTCAGAAACAAATTTTAATATATATCAAGTTCTACCGTATCGATTTTCACACGAAGACCACCATTTTGATTATCTTTCTTTTCTTTTAAAAAAAATGTAGGCCTGTCGGACGTGGCAGTGCAATTAACAAAACGGAGTTGTTTAGACGCATCAAAACAGGAGGCTTCATGGCCGATCACAAAAATCTACGGGGCGTATCGAGGCCGAGTCGCCCTGCTGCGTGCATGTTCACTAAACTGCCTACTAGTACTGTACTACTAATACGAGACAGTATGAGAGAGTGCCACTCAGGCAAAGAATAGATAGTGTAACTTTGACTCAGGCAGGCACGTTGTTTGTGTACACACTTTTTATACTCCAAATTTGATCCATAAGTCTATTCGGAGGATTTGACCTTTTCACTTGACCAAAGTGTGCCAAAATGGTAGACTAGCTTTTGCCCCTCCAGGAAGGAAAAATCTGGCCCTCATTCAAACCACTGGGATTGAGCAAAATTTCGAGTATTGTGCTTTGTTTTTACAATTTTCATTATGATTATGATTTATAAGTTGTACACTGAGACAAAACTGTACTCAATGAGAAAGGTGCACCATTACGAAAGTGGAACGAACTCAGTTACCTGAAAAGGGTAGTTTGAGTTTGAGCATATATGTGGCCTATATAATGTTCCGGGGAGGAGGAAACCTTATTTAGGCCACAGGTGGCCTAAATAATGTTAGGTGGGGGGTTGACCTTATTTAGGCCATGTGTGGCCTAAGTAAGCACTCCCTTGATTTAAACTTAAATATAAATACAACTGAGTTGAAGTGCTCTTTTTTTAATCCCTGGCCGCAAGTAGTATGCAACCGGGCAATTTATTAGGCATCGTCAGATTTTTCGCAGCAGTTTTTACACAAGTGGTACTTATGGTAAAAATACAATCATATTAAACCAATCAACATGTCTACATAGTAAGTGCACCTCTTTGAAACAATGAGGGGAGTATTGGGCCTGGGTTTCAAAACTATCGTAACTCGAGTTACGATATTTTTGCATTAAAAGATATGTTAAACTGTTTTCTGGAGGGCATCTTATGTCAAAACGGTGTACCATAAAGAAGCTCAATAAATAAAAAAGTTATGCTGTCATGAACATGTATCTTAAGTTTATTGCGGCGAAATCGTAGCAACAAAAGTATCGTATTTTGACTTACAATACTTTAAAAAACAAATGTAAATCTCTTTTTAATACAAAAGTATAGTTACTCTAGGTTGCAATAGTTTTGTTGCCGCAGACTTACATTGAAATAGAAAGATGTATGTTATACTGGTATCCTATCCTTGGGTATATTAGATTGTAATATGTCCTCCTTGGCATTGAAACTATCGTAACTTGAGATTCAATACTATGTAATTCATAAAGGAAGTTTTTCAACTTCTATCGTAACTCAACTTATGATAGTTTTGTTGCCAAGCAATCAGTGCCTTAATATCGTAACTTTTTTCAACCTGTAATATGGAAAAAAATCACATCCCCAAATTATCTGTGTGGAGAGAAAATCAGTTTTTTTGCTTCTCCTGAAAAGTAGGGTTTTTAAGATATGATCGTTTTGAATCCCAGGCCTGGTATGAAGGGTGGGTGTGTATGACGCCACGACACAGTAACGACATCTGTTGTTGCATCCTCATCCCCTTCCAAGCCCAAAGGGTAATGCGCACTGAAAGACAATGAGGAATACAGTAAAACCTCGATATAATGTGCTGGGCTCAATATGTTCTCTTAGCTGTAACGTCTGGAGTCCTGGTCAGTAGTTTTGCTCTTTAAAAGCTATGTCTAAAACAAGAATAAAACGCAATCAGGTGCAGTGAGAGTGTGAGTTTTGTTAGTAGACACCGATACTGGTTTTGATGCAAGTGGATGTTAGCACCAAATGTCAGCCCCTGGTCTTGTGGTGTAGTGATAAGACTTTTTAGCATTTTATGCAGCCGTGAGAGAAGTGATTGAATTTTTCACCTAAGGAAGATATATTTATCGATTGTCTCTATCTTTTGGCTAGTATCCCATGCAGTATGGTTTGGCTCAATGTTATGACATGAAATACATATATATATATTAATATAGGCCTATGTCTTTTCATTTTACTTTTTTTACAGAACAACATGTGCTCTCAACATTGCCAGGAATATCCATTTCTGTTCTATTACCTATTGCGAAGTACAGCGGAGTGCATTAAATGTAAGATCTGTTTTGTTACCCAGTATGGCTTTATTGTTTTGATACTCGGCATAATCTTTTTTTCTTTTTTTTTGTATTCTTCTAGATGCAGAACCACATCTGCTAAGTAATGATGGAGTGTTTTTGAAAGATCAAGATAATGAGAAATAGAATAATGATAATAAAGAGAAAAAGCTATAGAAATTACGTGTAGCTTTAATTTTATCATCTCATAAAATTTGATCTATCAAATTGCTTCGTACCCCCTGAGGCGGTGCTACTGACTGGAGTGTCTTTAGGCCATCCCAAAGTGGGAACATTAATAATTAATGCGTTCTTATGCACAGTAGAATTGGAAATGGGCTGATTCATCAATGTTATGCTCATAATTGTGCCTGAACTGCAACAGGGAATTGCTGCTTTTTCTTTCCTAATCCTTACTATCGTCCTTTTCCCTCTACTTCTTTTGTAAATTGTATGTTTGTCACACACTTGTGACCCGCTATTTCCAGGGTGCCTTGATAGTGGAAGCAGACTTTGTGCTGTTGAAGCTAGAGAGGTGAGCAGAGTAAGCCTGATTCCCTGTAAGGACTTCTCTGTTGACATCTACCCCTTGGCACTCATATGACCTTATGTAATGAGAGCGCCGTAAAACCTCTACTAAAACAAAACTAACAAATTGTTTCTGCATATTTTTTTGTTCCCATATATTCTGTCTTTTTTTTTTTTTAAGTGTCTTGGGAAACCATTATTCTTCTTTTTGTCTTTACCATCATTTTAAAAATGTCAGCAACTTGTATTTTGTGAAACCGCCATCATCTATCTAGTAGAAAGAACAGAAAATTTACTATACTCTGTCACATTTTTAAGTATACACTGTGTTAAAATGAAAATAGCTAGTTTCACAATTAGTCGATTTTCTTTAAAATTTCAAGAATACGAATTCAATCAATTTTAAATACGAAGAAAGCTACAACAATACGGAATGTTAACATAACAGTTTATTCACGACTTACAAGAGTGTGGGGGTGGTCTACAAAAGTAACACGATCAGTAGCATTGATGATGGCCTGACATCGTCGCCGCTTTGAATCAATCGATCGCTGCACTGCCTGTTGAGGGATGTTATTCCACTCTTCATGCGATGCTCTCTCAAGTTGAGAAAGTGTCTGAGGCTGGGGTTGTCGTATGTTGTTCAACTCACCTCTGGTTAGTCTTGCCGTTTTGAAAAGATTCTGTAGATGCAACAGGCGTATAAAATGAGCCTCTCTTTGGGTAGTTTTTCTTCTCCCACATAGGCGGTGTCGATCCTTTCCTGATTTTGTTTTCTCGGGATCCATTGTTGTGTACACAGTTCTTCGTGTTAAATTAAAATGTCTCGCAACAGTGGATACTAAGGCACCCCCGCGGATCATTCCAACCAGCTGATTTAGCACATTTTCTCGTAGAGCGTGACATCAGGAAACGTAGACAAAACAAGTTTTATCACTGGCGAATTGTTACTAAAATGACAAAGCTTTGATGTGTGCTTCTTTTTTAAACAAATCATTGCCATATCAAGAGTAATTCTAAAAAAACACGAAACATGTAACATGCATGCAGAGATACAAAACCACTCCCGCGTTCAGAAATCTGAAAACAGCTCACCAGCGACAGGTAGGGCCTATATCACGTAATCAGTGTGTAAATTTGAAAGTAATTGGTGTCATAGATTTTGTTTTATTCAGCTTCAAAATGTGTATACTTAAAAATGTGACAGAGTATATTTACCCACTAAATGAAATGTCTTTCACATTAGCTAGATTAGTGTTGCAGGATATTTTGTAGCAACTGTTTTGTTACCAATTTTCATGAAAAACTCTATAATAATTTTTTTAAAAATTTTTTGCAGACCGCATGAATGAAAGCCCTCGTTCACGGTTGCTGAATCGTGGTTTGGCTCGAGTAATGCTCAACGAACAGGAAGTTACAGGACTGCGTCAGTGTGTTCTGGAGTTCAGTTGTTCTATGATGAAATGTCCACTCTTTCAAACATCTTCTAGGATTTGGTTAGAACTTTTGGACTGTGTTGTTGGTTCATACTGTAATTAGATGGAATTTGAGTCTTAAATCATTTTCCAAGCATCGATTGAGAAAGGACTTTTGTGCATTGTGGTGCCTAGACTGTTATTTTGGCACTTTAACCACTGCACTGATCAACCAGAAAATCCTGGGGGGCACGACTATCATTTGTCAGCTAGAAGCACTTGAGGGAGCCAATAGATCTTGACCTTGTGGTAAATTTGTGAAAGCCTGCAATGGTGTGTTATTCAGTTTGTTTTTTGTAAACAAACCTGTAGAGGCTTTGAAAATGCATTGGAGTTGGTTTCAACCAAACATGGTTAATTCAAAAACAGTAAGAAAATAAAATCCCTGAGAAACCTCACTAAACCGAAAACTTGGCCAAACTGAAAAAAAATTGGCGGTCCCACAGATTTTGGTTGAAGTTTAAGCAGACCACACTGTTCATGACAACATGAAGCAATCCGGACCAAGCAAAAACACTTTACAAGTTCGTTTGGTGATTTACTATAACACTGTATTTTTAATTCCCCCTCCCCCCTACAAACTCCCACCTTTTTGTGCTGGCAGCCCGTCCAACCTCTCCCAACCCTGGCACATGCTGAGGCACAAGACAAGCCTTATAGTCATTATATATATCAACAGTGCTTGTGTTGATGTGGAAAAGTACCTCTGATTGATTGCATAAGATGGCTGTGTATCTCTGATAGGTCAGTCTTAGTATGTAGTGTCTGATATGCAATTGATTAAGTGTGAAATGATCTAGCGTGCAGGGCAATCAAATTTTATCGATGACCGCTTGGAACAGAGTATATAATGTTCATGGCATTAAAGTGAGTAATAGTATAGTGGGAGAAAATGTGTGAAGTCACATCAGCGCAGGCTGTTCACCCTGTAAGTGACCTCATTAACTCTCAAGTTTGGGGAATACAATTTTTTTGTTGTTGATTGTAATGGATAAAAAAACGAGAGTCATTTTTTGCTTCCATGGATTTCAGTTTTTATTGAATCAGGGTTTGTTATAAATGCATGTTTCACTGTATTTTAGGGCATCATTACCCATTCTAAGAGTTCAGGGCAAGTATCAAAATTGCCTGTCAAGGGTAAGGAAGAAAAACACTGAGTAATGTGAGACATACAAAAAATGTAGTATTTGTTCCTTGTTGTTCTGTGTTGGTTTTTCATTGCAATGTTTTGTTTTACAAGTTTAGCTGCAAACTTGGTAGTCAGTATACTGTGCGTATGTGTTCTCTCTCTCTCTAAACACCCCTTCCCCCCCCCCATTAAATTCCAGTAAATAATATGCCTAAACAATAAAGATAAGAAATAGCAGGGAAATGTATTACACAGCCAGCTCATTGTCAGGACTAGAATCAGAACTCCATGCTTCCAGCCCTTGGCTTTGACTCCCATGTTTTAAAATATAGTGCTCCGACCAGCTATAGTTATCTTGTTTGTGATTTTTCAGGTCACACACTCTCTCTTAATGTTATCTGCCGGAAGAGGGTCTAGAACTAGAACCTTGAAATCTTATCCCACAGTCATGCTCAATGCTGCATAATTTCAAGTGACGGAGTAAGAATAAGACTGTAACAATTTTTTCTTCACTTGACCCTCCAGTTGGCCATCTTGAAACTTGTGTCAAATTTTTCTCAAAGTTTGTAAATTACAGCAGAATCTGCTTAACTTAAACTTAAAGTGAAATCTGTGGGACTGCCAGAATTTCTTTGGTTTAAAAGACGAGTTTTTGGTTAAGAGAGGTTGCTCTAATAGTAATAGAAGAAGTAAAAAAGATTTTCTTTTCTTTTGGTTTACTGCTGTTTTCAAATTGACCATATTTGGTTTTTAACAAGCAGACTCCACTGTAGTTAATTTTCAACCTCTTTTTGTATTCAAATTGAATGCACTAAATGATTCCATGAAAAAGCACCACTATTTTGTACTTTAGTGTGCTAATTCTATGTTTTTGCTCATTTTGAAATTCAAACAGGACAAATTATCATTCTGGCCTTCTTTATTCCGAGACAGACAAAATATAAAAGGAAAAATTGCATATATGGTATTGTTTGTTTATATGGTGCTTGTGTGTGTTGAAAAGAATATGTACACGAAATTTGCAGGTATATGGTTGCTAAATAGCAAAGTTATAATACAGTGGAGTCAGCTTAAGTTAAAATCTGTGGATCTGCCAGAAGAGATCGAAAGTGTAGATCAGCACACTATATTGCTGTACTGCGCTCAGGGCTAGGCTAGAAAAGTGAGACTGCCCAATGCTATTGACATCATGAAACACACAAAGTGCCGCCACATGCTCATGTATGGCCTACTCTATGTGAACTCACTTTGCAGAGACACTATCAATAGGCCATGACCAACCGCGGGTTGTGCAACAGACATAGGTCTACATTTGATATCCTTGCGTCACGATGTCTGCACACAGTGAGGAGGCCTATCGATGTCTGTGATAAATGTTAGCAAACAGTTGAATACGTGTGTCACTTTCTTTTATTTTGTTGTCTTGAAGAACGCAAGACTTGATGATCTGCATTACTTGAGGGTTTCTGGTGAAGATTTAGACTTCATTTCTCTCAATTCTTATTGGTTTAGAAATAGGAGCACTCCGCTATTTGACAGTTTTCTTATTTATAGTATAGGACAAAGATTGACCCAAAAAATTTCTTTTACTTTTCCACTGTTTTGGGATTCACTGTGTTCAGTTTAAGCAAACTCCACAGAATTCTGAAGGAGAAAATTGTGAAATTATGTTTTAGTAATTTTAATAGGCGATAATTGTAATAAAAGTTCTGAGGAAATATTTTTCCATATTATATACTTGGTCTTTCTCTATCGTTCCTGCCAAGCAAAACTAAATTTCATTTTAACTCTCATTGTCAGGACTGTTGAATTAATAGTAGGCAAGGGTTAATTAACAGTGAAAGAGAAGTTGTTTTAAGTAGCATTGTAATTGTATTGAGTCTTGATACTTTGGGGGGGGGGGGGGGGGGATATACCATTTTTACATATGCTCCCCTCCAGATTCCCCTCAGTAGACTGGTCAAACTTAGGCCTTCTGGAATCTGCAGTGTGTGTAGGACTCTTTTAGTCTACACTGCTGTGACCTGTGAAGGCAGTTGGCTCATGAAGTCAGTGGAGTGATTGTGACCAATTAAATTTTGTGTTTTACTGTATGAACCTTGATGACTGTTGTCAGTGATGTAGATTCATTAAAGGTAAAAGTTTGCCACTGACCTGCTGGGTCAATCATGTTGATGAGGTCATTCTTGGCATCTTTTTTAGTGACCCTGTGTGAACTGTTTGCTGAAAACTTATTTTTATTGTACCTCTGGGTGGATGTCATGTTGGCCAGATCACACACAAAACAGGAGGAGGAAGGTTGGGGGGTGCTTTGCAATTAAATGTTTTCTCTTGACCAAGAAAACACAGATTTCCCAATGTGTGCACCAGTGGCTTTTCTGTTGGTACTACACAAGAATTGTTTTGTTTGAAAAAAAACCCGGCGATTTTTGGTGTTTTAAATTGGTTGTTGACTCTGCTTATTTTGTAGTTTTACCACTTTCATGGTCAAGAAATAAGGTCATATCCATTTGTCATGGCCAGTCAGTTTGTGTTTGAATAACCATGAGCATGACGATCCACACATGAACCTTGTTACCATACGAATTGCCCCTGGTGTTAAAAGGAAAAAAAATACCCTATTTCGAAAGAGGAAAGAACACTGAACACAAATCATGTACATTTGTTTTTTTACTTGTCAACACTACTTTGGAGAAAAATGGCATAAATTTGAAATGAAATTGACGCTTCACCCAACTTTTATGCACTTTTCCAGTGTGAAAACTCGAATTGTTTCAGTACCTACGTGTAACTGTAGATCTTTTGATCTTATTTGATTTACATTATGGCATCATGGGTGATGTAGTAAAGAATCAATATTTTAGTTTATCAAAATCTTTTTAGGGAGTGTTTTGTTGAAAATTAAGTTTAACAGTAATACGGTAAGAGAAAAATCATTTGAAGAATTTATCCATGTGTGTGAACAATTTGATTTTGATCCTACGGCAAACAGAGATACTTCAGATTGATCGCAGCGTGTAATCACAAACCAGTCCCAGGATAGGCCACAAGCTTGCTGGAGGCCAAAATTTGTTACAAAACTGTCAGTGTCAACTGTACCTGTAATACCTCCCTTTATTAGCCTTTAATGTTTGCTACTGCAAAGTGAACTTTGCTTTAGCTGAATGGATCTGTGATTTTGTTTTTTCTCTTGTTTTTCTTCTAGGTAAAGCAGATATCATGGAATATATAATTCGCTACCCCAGAATTACCAAGTTCTATCTGCTCAGTAGGCCTACCTAGTTTTGAGAAATTTGACGTTAAAACATTTTGAGTTTCACAACATGTCAATCTTTTTCTAATGCAATTCTTTGAATATCTTGATAACGATTACGAATAATCCTATGATTTTGATTGAGCAGGTAGGACATTTGGTTTCTGACCTCTTGGTTTTAGTAACTCAAAACGGCCAAAATTGTCATATAAAATTTTGTAATTCTAAGTTAACGAATTGTTATGGTTCATGATTAAAGCTAATTGGTCACTTTTAGGCACAAGGGGGCTATACCGAAAAATGCTGTTTTGAGAAAATTGAAGGTAAAGTTCTTGCCCCTTTTTCAGTTTCTTTAAAAGACAAGGAGGGTTTTCTCTATAATTAAACAAATATAATACACACCAATGAAACCAAACTTCTCCTATAGGTAGGGCAATATCCATTTTTGGTGTTTGTCAAGATTTCTGGAAACCCCCAAAATCTGGGTTAGCCCGCTTGTCCTTAAAAGCGACCAATTTATTGTATGAAGTCTGAGTGTTTATCGTATTCAGTTTCTTTTTTTATCCTCATTATTGTTGTTTCATAGACACCTTACAAAAATGAAGAACATGTAGTCACATTTTGTTTCAATACTGTTCATAGTGGCCAGAAAAATTGACGAAATTCATATTGCTGTTATTTTATTGCTCAAGTGTTCAAATCAAACTGTGTTCGGGGATTGTGAATGGAAAAATATATCATGTACAAAATTTGAAAGAATTCTTTAATTACTTGAGGGAAATATATTTATCATAGCAGAAATATGCACAGACTTCATAAAATATGCACACAGACTTCATTTATAATGTACCATGGTCAAAGGGTGCTACATCCTATGATTATATTATGTGTCACGATGTGATGGAATCAGGCGCTTGTCAGTTTATGGGCATGTGGAGTTATTTATATTATGTGAAAGCTGATTTATTTGCTTTGCTTCCAATGAAATAAAAATATCCATTTATGTTGAATAGAACTGAAGATACTTGTGTTTGAAGGAAATGAGGTCGCCTGGTTTCAGTAGTGAAGTTAGCGAGAAAATGGCTGCCAAAGTTTGGTAACTCCAGCTAGTCTTTGAAAACTGAAAAATGACATATTTTGTGCCTTTCATCAATGTTTTTCAGTAGGATTCTCGCGGAAATGTGTTTTTATATGTACATAAAAGAGGTTAAAAGCCAAAAAATGAAAATTTTATCAAAATTTCTAAACTAGCGGAAAAATGCCTGTTTCTCCTATTTCGTTATTTTGACGAGCGCCTGATTCCACCACACTGCCTTACTCACACACACATTTTTATAGATGATATATATATTATATATCAGGTGCTCGTCAAAATAAATCAATTGAAGAAGCTAGCATTTTTCTGCCAGTTTGGCAATTTTTGTTGAATTTTTTTTGTCTTACTAAGAACATATTTCTGGGTGGATTTTACTGAAAAATGTTGATGAAAGGCACCAAAAAATGTAAGATTTCAGTTTCCACGGACTATCAAGCTAAGGAAGAAACCAGACAAGCTTTAAGATTATACCAATAATTTATAATAACTCCTCATGTCCAAAATTTGGATATGAAGTTATTGGTCTTCTCATTTGATGAAAAAAAAACCCCCACAATCTTGATAGAAGAGAAGATTATATTTGCGATTGAAGCAGGTGAGGTGGCCTGGTTTCAGAAGTAAAATTAGCAAGAAAATGGCAGCCAAAGTTTGGTGACTTCCATAGTTCAGGAGTCCTTGGAAACTGCAAATGTACATTTTTCGTGCCTTTAATCAACATTTATCCATAAAATCCACACATAAGAATGTTTTGAAATGGACATTTAAGGTATTGAACCAAAAAACAAAAATTCAAAAAATAATTTACAGACTGGTAGTAAAATGCAGATTTTTTTATTTCATTACTTTGACGAGCGCCTGATTTCATCATGCCTCACATATATATTATATCATGTAGGCCCTACATGAATTTATGTTACTAAAATTCAGTCTTTAGTGCTTTTTGTTCTTGCTGTTGTTCAGTCTTTCGAGTGTACCCAGGAAAAAGTGTTGAAGATCTTGAGCCGTTAATTGTTTGGTTTTTTTCTAAGAATTTTGAAAACCACATAGAAACAGTGATGGACATGTATTGTGATGTCCATTCGGGTTTTAAATTACAATGTAATGGTGTTCCTTCATACCCATAATCCACCAAATGAAGTTAAATGTATTGAAATTGTTTAGGTATAATGCCTCTTTCTACACTGTAAGTTGTAAGGTTATTTTCAAGAGGAAGGACCTTGGAATTTAAAACCCATTTCCAACAGAGCCAAGCTAAATAGGTGCAGAACTTAAAAAACTTCCCTCATTAACCGATGATCTGAATGCCTCGTTTGGTACCATATTCTATGAAGGGCCAACAGCTCTGTAGTCCAGCATGAAACCAACTGGGCTAAAGACGTGCCTCTCACCTGTATCTGTCCGTGAGTGTCAGTAACATTTTACCTGCAAATGTGCAGTCACATTCAATGCTTTATTTGTTCAAACATTATACAGTAGGCTCTACCTCTTGGTGTCCTTGACTTGGAAACATTTTGATCAAAAGGTAGGAAAAATAAAACTTTATTGGTATTTTTGCAGTATGGATTTAAAGTTTTGTCAGATACTCAGAATATTATATAATTTTTTGACGGTATCTTTCTTTTTCAGATAAAGTTGTCAGAACATATGTTGTAGGTTTTGAATCATGTCATGTAGATAATTGCTGTAAAGTGGATGAAACTTTATTGTAACTTGTCAATCATTAGCACAAAAGAATATCAGTATCGTGTCATGTAGCCTACATTATGTATGTCATTGTTTTTCCTAACTTGTAATAAAATGAAAAATGGTCTATCACCCACATATGCTTGTATCACTGATGTCCTGTCATTACATCTTGATATCATCATTAAAGGTGCTGTATGGACAGTACAGATGAAATAGCACCTTTGGTACTTTTCTACAATAATAAAGGTTTTTGAACTTTTAAAATTTCATTATTAAACTGTTAACTGTTAACCCGTGTCTTGTTTTAATTGCTTTGCTTTTTGCTTACTTGTAAAAATACACATAGGTCTTCTAAGGAAGGTGCCTGACTTTTAAGTTTCAAGCTCAGTTATAACTCAAAAACATGCTGTGGTTTTTTTTTTTTTTTTTTTTTTTTTTGGGGGGGGGGCTGTTTTTTTGTTTTTTTAAGATGTGAGACCAGTCTGCGTGTATGACGCTTGAATAGATTTTCTCTCTTTGATATTTTTGTACCGATAGCTGGGTGACCAAGTAGGCCTATAATATGAGTACTATGATTCGTGAGCTCTTCATCAACTTTATGTAATGCTTTTTGCGGAAAATACAAAAAACAACTCTGGATTGTTGGAAGGGTAGTGCAGTAGGCTAGGTGAGTTGGGTTAGATAATCATCATTTAAGTTATAATATTATAAGGCGGTATTGTCGAGTTAAATTCCCCTTTTAAGAGGAATGGGTTTAGTTTAGTTGGTGGAGAGCCTCGAAAAAAACTCAAACAACTCTGTCAGCATGCCACAAGCTGACAAAACGCCTTTTTAAAAATTCGCAGCAGTTTCGAGATTAAGAGGTTTTTTTTTCCGTCATCAGCATTATAACCATTTAAAAAAGGCGTTTTTCCTAAATTTGAATTTTAAAGAACTAGTCACAGTCTCACTTTGATTTTTTCACACAAATAGGGTAACCGATCAGCCTTGCTGTGTTTCAAAAGAAGAAAATTGGCACCAAAAATTAAAAGACGTTTTGTCAGCTTACCAGAACAGTGTTCAACAATTGGAATTGCGAAGTCTCAAGTCCTGGGTAACACGTAACAGTAGTAACACCTTGAGACCTGCAAGTCGCAAGCCAAATTCCAGGTCCAGGGGATGTAATAAAGTATACGAATAGTCTCTTTGATAGTAAAGCCATCTGCATTACTTCCCTTTATCGTTATCTTTATAACCACCTATGTTGAGACGTATGGAACATCTTTGTGATACTTGTTTGGCTGATAGTTAATTCAGTTTGTTTGGTTTTTGTTCTGTTTTCTGTTGTATTAGTATGATGGCATTGAAGTTGAAGCCTTATCGGGCCTAGGCCTGCCTACCCCTTTTATATCGAGGAGTGGACTCAACCAATCCGCCTAGGACGAGCAAGTCCTAGCAAGTAGTAGGGGTGGTAGATGAAAATGTATTTGAATTAAAACAACCAACTGAAAACACTAAATTTATTAGAAACATGACCAGTTTTGAGCATTTCTTTAGACGTTGGTTCACTGAGTCTAGATATAGATCTATA